TTTATTCTAGTCAGTTCTTTAACGATAATGAATCTTTGAAATGTGTGTCATCTCCAGTCATCTCTATTCTAACTCAGCAAAAACGGTATCTGAGAAATGTGTATGTACATGTATACAAAATATGTATGCGCATAACTGTAAATGTGTATATTGTCTGCAACGGCTGGCTAACATCAGCTTGTTAAGAAAAGAAACCAGATTATGGGGTATCCCACCATTACACATCACTTTTATTGTGAAGAAATGTCATGGGTCTTTTAAACTGCAGACATTGGTGCCATTGAAAAATCTGAATGCTGAATTTTAAAGTCTATTTATTTTGACGTGGCAGAATTTGGAGACCTATAGCCACACCAAACAGGAGTTGCATAAAATATGAAACATCCACTTCATTGTCTATCAAAAGGCAGCTCATTGGAAATAGATAAAATTAATTTAATTACATGCGGATTAAATTCCCCACCTGGAAATTAAATTTTGAAGGAAAGTGGCAGAATGAATAAATATTGTTATGACTAAAAATGGCAGTTGATAAATTTTAGGAGCTTGAACACTTAGGAAGAATTCACATGTTACTCAAAGGCAAATATAGCTTTGCTACTCAAATGTAGATACAGCTGCAAGCTTCAATTTATCCTGATACATGTGTTAAATGTTGCATGAAGAGGCACTGGGTATCAAAACTGTCCAAATGGTGGCTATGATTGTAGAAAGAAAGCTTTAGCTTTTTTTACTTGTGTCACGTGGTACAAATAATTTGATCGCACCCTTGAGGTTGTCTTGACTTTATAGGTGTATTTCATATTTTATGTGCATAGTTCAGATAGATTTAGAATGTTCCTAAATATCTGACCTTGTGAACTGGGGTTTAACTTACCAGAGGTGTTCATCACCAACTATTCATTGCTTAAGCTTTTCTTTACTTGACTGTGACTTCTGCTTTCATTTTTAAAAAATAAGTATATGCCTTTCTCCCCCCCCCAGCGCAAACTCTTTCTCAATGTGCCATATTTCTTGAAGTCCCATCTTACCCAAAAAACAGCCAAAGTGATTATTTCAGAACACAAAGGAAAGAAGCTGAATAAATGAAGCTATTTATTAGGCGTTCAGACAAACTCACTTTTTCAGTGAAAATGAGTTGATAAACTGAGTTTTCATTTGATACTGAAGTTTGTGTGCGGGAATAAAAATATATTTATGTGACTGCAAAAAGCAGCCACAGTTCTTTGTACGGGGATTCCTGTCCATTTAAGTTCTACAGTTAATTTCAAAGAAATCTGTTGCTGTTGATTGTCCCAACTCTCTATCAGATCTATTACAGATAGTGTTTGGGTTATAACCATAATTGAGCCTAAAAATTATGATTGTAAGTCATGTCATAAAACAGATAACTACTTGACCATCCCAATTTTATGACCTTTTTCACAGAGGTCGTTAAGCTAACATGATGGTTGCTAAGCAAATCATTGTCCACTATGTGCTAGCTTTTGCCAGAAACCAGAAGTAAAGCTGGTTTCTAGCAAAACTTTTGTAAATCAGAGTTAGATGTGGGCTGATTGCCAAGTGACCATGGGGGGAGGCTACATCAGAACTTGGAAGCCTGGTCGTAAGTAGATTTTGTGAGGGTCCATCATAACTTTGAATGGTCATTATATGATCAACAGTTAAGTCAAGGACTACCTGTTCTATATCAAAATATGACTATTATCCTCTCCAACTACTCTTTTATCTTGTAGTTTTGTCCCATCTCTATAGGTATGAACTTACATTTACCTCTACTTGCATTCTTAGAATAAGATGATTAATGGTAACATAAAACTGATGACTGAAAATTCAATATTGGGAATTCTTTTCTTTAGAAGGCAGTCAGAAACAAAGACAAGGTATCATGTATGGCTGGTTTGTTTGATTAATACATAATACATATCTTTTTAAAAGATACTGTACAAATGGCTTCTGTTGGAACTGTATAGCAAAAGCCTATACAACAAGAGTAACAGCAGATGTTAAATCACTATTAGTTATATAATCTAGGTTTTCTTTTTACTTATCTGGTTATTTATTTAATAATATTTATGTTGCATTGTTAGCATACTGATGGTACCAAAAGCTTGTTATTCAACACTTGAGCCTTTGCAGAATGATAGGAAGTAAAAACTTGGATGAAAACAATCTTTCAGTTAGGAGATTGCAGACACAGGAAAAGAAATGGACCAGCCACATGGTCCATTAAGATCTTATTAAATCTTGTGGTAGACCATGAGGAAGCTAACATTTGGCACAATATTATCTTAACACTAAACCAATACTATCTTTATTTTAAATCCTTCAATCAGTTTGTAACTTCAATAAAAGGTAAGTATAATCTCAATTTCAAAGAAATGTAAATATGTAAAATAGAAATTTGACACTGAAACATGACATCAGTTCTGGAACAATAACCAAAATAGTTATTATTATTAATTTGCCTTGAAAAAGAAAGAAAGATAAAAGATCACCTTCTTTCTCTCTCCTGTAGATAACCAGGAGTCCCAGATCCTAAGAATTTATGTGATAAGACAATGGCACAACTTGGAAAAGCCACAGCAGTATAAATGGACAAACCCTCAGCTAATTGTAGCTAAGCAATTTTAACTTGCGTTGTCTTATAGCATGCTCTTCCTGTCAGAAAAGGATGAAAGAATGCAATTGCTGGCATCCATGTCCGAGTAGCCCAGAAAGGATCTCAGTTGGCCCTCTTTAAACATGGCAGTGAGCCTCGGTAAATAAGAGGGGAGAGGCCATTGGCAGCCACACTGAAAAAGTAGAGAAGTACAGGTAATCCTCAACTTATGACCACAATTGATCTCACAATTTCTACTGCTAAGTGAGACAGTTTTTTTAATAAGTTTTGCCCCATTTTATGACCTTACTTGCCACAGTTGTTAAGTGAATTACTGCAGCTGTTAAGTTACAATACAGTTGTTAAATGACTCTGTATCTAATTGACCACTGACTTTGTCACAAGTTCGCAAAAAGTGATCACATCACCCTGGAACACTGCAGCTGTCATAAATGTAAGTCAGTTGCCAAGCATCTGAATGTTGGTCATGTGACCATGGGAATGCTACAACGGTGGTAAGTGTGAAAAATGGTCATAAGTCACTTTTCCAGTGTTGTTGTAATTTTGAGCAGTCACTAAATGAATTGTTGTAAGTTGAGGACTACCTGTAGCTTTCTTCCATTATATGAGAATTCAAAGATTTGTGCAACAGTCTATGTATTTCTGGATTTTTAAACTTCTTATCAAGAGGATCCATCTACAAGCTTTTTTTCTTCCCTGCCCCACTTCCTTTGGTATTTATAGGCCAGTACCGCTAAGATGGACATATGTCTTAACTGTTTTCACGAATGCCATTCCTTCTTCCTTTTAAAACAGAACAAGCCCTCAGGGTTGAACAGGCTATGCACACAGTTTAAAAACCATTTGTTTTGTTTCTTATATTCACAAATGTTACATCACAATAATTGTTTAGATTAAATTAGATTCTCGTTCCAAGATTACCTCTAAATCTGACTTCACAAAATAAATGGCAGGGTTCTTGTAACGTGCTATGCCCAAACAAACCATATTGTGGCTCATTGTGTTGGCCTGGTTCTACCATGTTGTGAGAATTGGCCTTAGAATGCATTCTTAGTTTATAAAATAATAATAATAATTATACACTTTGAGTGCTGTTATGATCCTACATCCTGAACCAAAGTTTGGCAACTTGGCAATTCATGCATACAAGGCTTTCAGATTGATGTTACAACAGCCCATCTGCTGTCTTACTTTCTAGGAAGCACAGCCATAAGGGAAAGATTTCAAGGAGGCAGCCACAAGAGTGGTCAGCTTCTTACCTCTTTAGCACTGCAACATTCAGAGAAAGAAAGAGGGTAATTACAGAACACATAGCAAAGTTGGGCAAGACTATTCAGTCACCGAACTGTGCCTCTGGAACATTAAGGTAGTTTAGGCACCTTTGCAAGTGCTGTTGCTTACAATGGTTTAAGTAGCAACTAAGGAGGATTGTCCAGAGCTTTCTTTTCTTACCTTCTATTACAAAAATTGGATTCCTGTATATATTTTTTTAAAAAATCTTTAAATGAGAAGTAGCACCTTTATAAAAGAATATAATTGTTCTTTTGCGCCATCATCATCACAAATATTTCAAAGCTTATGAACCAGCCATAATTCATTTTTTCTCAAAGGAAAGTTAGCATGATAAAAGATTCTGATGGAATCTAGTGCACCTGCAGTCCACAAAATAACAACTGATCCAATCAACATTGTCGAGTTTGTGTGACACTTATTAAGTCGTCTTAAAAATATTTGTCACTGAATAATCCAAGGCCTGGTACAGGCCTCTATAAGCATATAGTTGACTCGTTCTGAATTTATGGCAAGAAATCACTCTATAGCATATATTTAATATATAATTAAAATAAATCATCTTGATCACAACTTCTCCCTAATAACAAAATACCATCTTTTCCCTTAATATAGACCCAGGATTGACTTTTCGTATATAATTAGAAATCTTCATCTTTAAATCTCTGCTCTGTGGGAACTGTATGCATCTAGAAAATAAACCCTGAAATACAACTTCACAAATGGAATTGACAGTGAACGAACATTGCATTGTCATTTTGCTTGGAAAAATTAAGCACAAACATAACATTTCACGAGTACCATTACCATGCAAAATGCATGTTGAATTTCATTGCTGTTTTAAGTCCCAAACCACAACTAGCATGCAGATTTTCTCCCTATCCCAAATATTAAATTCTTGGTAATTGCACCTCTTTGGTGTAATCAGAACATTTGGGCAAGATTATATCAGTTTTAAAGAAAGCCAATGAACCGATCCATTTTCATATATATGTTTACACAGTGCATGTTTCACCATTAAAAACAAAAGAATAACCAAACTTAACATATTACATTCAATTTTAAATATATCTTTTGGGGAAAACAATTCAGAGCCATCCCATTTATTTAGGAAACATCTAAAAAAAAATCCCATCACTAACAAATTGTGAAAATATGTTTTCACATTTTTAACAGTTTTATCATTGTTTTTATTTTTGCTAATATGCAAGTAATCCAGTCCTATATTTCTTAAATGTGTAATACAATGGATTTTGAAAGTGGGAACTATTACAGGACTTAGCCTTTCCTCCCAAACAAGAAAATAAGAAACAAAACAGACCGTTGTGTAATAAAAACCTGATATGTTGGTTTTGTCAAAGAATTGTTCCATGGCATTCTTGTTCTTTCAGGGCTTCTGCTCTTTATCAGCACTTAGCCCATCTTCTGCTGGCATTAGCTACACAACAACACTTCTGCACCCAGAATGTGAATAACAGTTATTCACAGGACACCAATGCACCCTTGTAGTTCCAAAAATGCCCGGGAGTCACTTGTACCACAACATCTTGCCCAAAAGAAGATTCAAGTAAGTGGCAGCACCTTTGGCCCATAACTGCAATGTAATATTCCAATAGGAAAAGAATTATATATTTGCTTAAGATAATACAACAGCAACATTTCACGTGCAGCGTCTCTGATGAAACTTCAAAAACTTCCAGAACTTTATACAATGGAGCCTTTCGAGGATGATAAATGAATCGACTGGATCCGTGTTGCCAACGTCCTCTGTAAATCTTGTAGAACATTTTGGCCAGGTGAATCTCCATTTTTGTCATACAGCAACTGCTTGAAAGCTTCGTTTTCAATTAAGACCATCATATTTTTTAGAAAGTAACCCTCACAAAAAGAAGCTAGTTCTGTGACTCCAAGAAACTGAAGATGGATAATGAAGGGTAGGAAGAGAAAAAGAAACACAAATAAATATACAAACTGTAATTGCTCACTGAAGTTAATTCTTCAGCTCATGGTGCTTTAGGCTTATTCAACAGTATACAATATCTCTTGGCAATCTAAGGTACAACTACATGGGTATTACAATCTATGTGACAAATGTCTCACTTAGAACAAACAACATTGAATTTAATCTGGCCTCCTGATACTAATTTACCAGAAAAAAAAATATTTTATCTTTCCTTCTGGGTATTAAATACTTCTGGCAAGGGAGAAATTATTTTGAGGATTTAAGAAGTCCCAATACAGTAATGATAATTTGAATTAAGTTTGTGTTCAATAGATTTTGCCTGTTAAACCCAAAATCTGCTACATTAGGGTTTACAGTAGTTGTATTAACAATATTTAATGTTATATGGAATGTTAAAGGATTGGGTTTTCTTCCTAAAATTAAATAGAGCTGAATAAAAAATAGACTTAATGAAAGAAAATCTGGAAATGGCTTTGAACAGAGTGAAAAAAAATTGTATTATGGACTGACTCACAAATGTATGGAACTATCTAATGGGAAATATGAAAAAGGATTGTTTTTGGAAGTATGAAGTGAAAGAAAAAATGGATAAGAAAAATATATAAGACAATGATTGCTCAAAAAGTGAAGCTGTAAGATACTGTACTGATGGATAAATGGACATGGAATACTTGTGACATTAGCAATGTGTCCTTTGAGGGGGGGGTGCATGCATGCATACTATTATATGAAAACATTGTCATGCTGTAGGCTTAGAACCAAATGACCTATGAACACTATTAAGAAGATTGTATGAGTCAGTCTGATGTAATGGTTAAAGCAGCAGACTAGAAAGCAGGAGACTGTGAGTTCTAGTACTGCCTTAGCCACAAACCCAGCTGGGTGACTTGGGCAGGTCACTCTCTCTTAGCCCTATAAAGCAGGTAACTGCAAACATTTCTGAAATGTTGCCAAGAAAACTGCAAGGGCTAGTCCAACATTGACTCAAAGCACTAAATAATATTAATAATGCATTGAAGCTAATATACCAGGAAGGCTTACCAAGTACTGAAGATACCAAATTGGCCTACAAGAAAGACCAAATGAAGAACCTAAAAGAGGCATGGGAAGGCAAAGCATTACACGGCTAGTACATTAAAAAAATAACAGGGAAAAGAAATAATAACAAGACCTGGCAATGGCTAAGAGCAGGAAAGTTGAAGAAAGAGATAGGCAAGCTAATTCTAGCTGCACAAGACCAAGCCTTAAGAACAAATGCATACAAAGCCAGAATTGAGAAGACAGCAACAGACAGCAAGTGCCACCTTTGCAAAGAAGCTGAAGAAACAGTGGACTGTCTGTTGCAGACAGCTACTGCAAGATCAGACAGACTAACTGCAGACAATGGCACGACTAAGTAGCACCACTGGGAATTGGAAGATCTGCAAGAAATACCATTCGCCTGCAAGCAAGAACTGGTGGGATTGTAAAATAGCAATCATCATAGAAAATGAACAAGCTGTCAGACAAATTATTAATTTATTAGAATATTTAGATAAAAATAATCAAGTTTCTGCAGGATTGATATTTTTAGATGCTGAAAAAGCTTTTGACCAATTGAATTGGCAATTTATGTTAAGACTAATTGAGAAAATGAATTTTGGAGAAAAAATTTTACAAGCTCTTGGTATTATTTACCAAAAACAAACGGCACAACTTATAGTTAATGGGGGTTTATCAGAGGTGTTTACAATAGAGAAGGGGACTAGACAGGGTTGTCCACTGTCACCGTTGCTGTTTGTTTTAACTTTGGAAATATTGCTGATTAAAATTCGAGAATCACAGCAAATAAAAGGGATAGAAGTTAATAAAAAAGAATATAAATTAAGGGCCTTCGCGGATGACTTGGTGGTTACCTTATCCCAACCTATTTATTCTGTAATAGAACTACTACAATTGATACATCAATACGGACGGGTTTCGGGTTTTAAAATTAATAATAATAAGACTAAAATATTGCCCAGAAATATGACTAATCTGGATAAGCAGATTTTGGTTAACCTGACAGATTTTGAGGTTGTTAATAAGGTGAGATACTTGGGGGTTATTTTATCTGTTTCTAATGCAAAATTGTATAAAAATAATTATGAAAGGTTGTAGGTCAATATACAAAGAGATTTGAAAAATTGGGAGAAGTTGCAATTATCTCTTTTGGGAAGAATTGAGGCGATTAAAATGAATGTTTTGCCAAAGTTTCTTTTTTTATTTCAAATGATACCTATTTTAAAGAATGAGGTTAATTTAGATGAATGGCAGAAAGGTATTAATAAATTTATCTGGGCGGGGAAAAAACCAAGAGTAAAACTTAAAATTATACAAGATATTCGCGAGAGAGGTGGACTCAAGGTACCGAATTTGAAATTGTATTATGAGGCTGTGGTTTTAACATTAATAAGTGATTGGGTTAATTTAACAAATGTAGAAATACTCCTCTTGGAGGGTTGGGATTTACTTTTTGGATGGCATGCCTATTTAATTTTTAATAAAAAGGTCGATAGGGTTTTTAAATCTCATATTATAAGGATTTCTTTACTTCGGGTTTGGAGGAAATATTATAGAAGTGATTTTAAAATTCCATTATGGGCTATACCATGGCATGCGATAGAAGGGATAAGGAGAGGAGTTAAGATGGATAGTGTTTCTTACGCACAATTACTTAGATGGGATGGTAAAAATTGGCAGTTAAAATCTTTGGAAGATTTAACACAAGAAAATATTATTTACTCATGGTTTCAGTATAGACAAATAGTGGATAGGTGGAAGATAGATCGTAATGTGGGCTTGCTTAGAGAAGATGAAAACTTGTTAAAACAAATAAAAGATCAAAGACGAACTCACATTAAGAGAATTTATGGGGTGTTAGTAGAATTGGATTCAGAAGCAGAATTAGTCAAAGAATGTATGATTAAATGGGCATAAAATTTTGGTGAACCAGTTCTACTAGATACCTGGGAAATTATTTGGGTGAGGAATGTCAAATTTACACAAGCCCAAAACTTAAGGGAGAATTTTTACAAAATGTTTTATAGATGGCACCTTGATCCACAAAAAATGTCTCGCATGTACCATGACTTACAGCCTAAATGTTGGAGATGCGGATGTTTGGATGCTACTTATTATCATATCTGGTGGTCGTATAAAAATATAAAAGCTTTTTGGATTAAGATATGGTGGAATATTCAAAGAATTTTTAGAAGGAGGGTAAAATTTACCCCACAATTGTTCTTGTTAGGTATTATTATTGATTGTGATACTAAAGAGACCATGTTGATGTTAAATTTAATTACAGCCGCAAGGTTGTTAGTAGAGCAATGTTGGAAGAAGGAATCTTTGCCTACTTTGCAAGAGTGGTTTTTTAAAGTTTCTTATTTGGAGGAAATGGCAAAGATTTCGGCTTTTTTGAAGGATCAATCGCAAGAGAAGTACCTTTTGGTATGGAAAAGATGGATAAATTTTATACAATATAAGTTGGATATAAAAAAATATTATTTAGTTTTTCAATAACTTATATTTAAAATTTAAAATATTTTATAGACTTTATTCTTTTTTATTTTTATTTTTTATTTTTATTATATTTTCTTTTATATTTTTCTTTTTTCTTTTTTTATTAAAAGCATTTTTCTTTTGGTATTTATGTTTTTCTATATATATATATATTATTGTTAATTATTTTATAATTTGTTCAATTAATGTATTTAGATTTATTTATGGTTTATATCTTTTTAAAGATTTTTTGAAGAAATTTCAATTAAGCCTGTATTCAGCTCTGGGAAGGTCGGGGGAGGGACTGGGAGGGTTGGGGAAGGTTTGTTTTGTTTTTGTAAAATTCTAAAAAAATTTCAATAAAAAAAAATAAAATAAATAAATAAATAAAAAAAGAAAATGAACAAGCTAAAGTGTTCCGGGACTTTAGAATTCAAACAGATAGGCACCTGCCATATAACATCGCATACTTAATTGTCAAAAAAGTATTTGTTGCATCATTTGGATAGGGGACTGGCAGAACCTGAAGCCAGAATAGAAGAGAAAGAACTGGAGAAGATAACAAAATACAAAGCCTGAAAATAAAAATAATACAATTGTGGCAAAAGAAAGCAAAGATAGTACTAATAGTGATAGCATCTTGGGTGCAATCGCAAAACAAGTAGAGCACTATTTGAACATCATTGGCATTGACAATTAGTTGCAAAAGTCAACTTTGTTTGGAACAGCTTACATCCTGGGACAATACCGCTAACACAGGGGTGTTAAACTGCCAGCCCATGGGCCGGTTTCATCATACCAAAGCTGCGCCCACCACATTGCCGGCAATGCAAAAAGAGTCACGATATGTCGCAACTCATCACGTGATGTGGCGAGTTTGACACCCGTGCTCTAACATTATCAAGTATCAACATTTGCATATCCCAGGTCTTTGGAAACAACTCAATAGATAGATTAAAAACAGCAGATCCAGTCTGAACATCTAGTTGATTGTGTAACAACTACAATAATAATGATGAAAATGATGCAACAAAAAGCACAAACCTTGTTTAGCAGAGAAAATGGACAATTGCCACATATAGATACAGTAAATAATGTTTTATCAAAAATCTGTATAGTTTTCAATTGGCATACCTTGACAGAAACTTTACTAAAGCAGGGAAAATGGAAAAACATTAAGATGAACATTGCTAGAAAAATAGTGGGTAGTATCTAGTCTGTTTGATCGAAGCAACAATATCTCTGTAGAGGAGCATGTTACTGTCAAACTGTCTTATATGAAAATGAAAATAAGAGTGTCCTGGGGAAAAGAAAATAGCAATAGCGCTTAGATTTATATACCGCTTCACAGTGATTTACAGCAAGGATCCCCAACCCCTGGTGCTGGTGGCATGCCAGAAACCGGGCCACGCAAACAAGCAAAGCCCCATCCACAGGATGCAGGTAGCACAGGAAACCATGCTCCCGCCGGTCCACAAAAAAACCTCTCTCCACAGAACCAGTCACTGGTGCCCAAAAGGTTGGGGGCTGCTGTTTTACAGCCCTCTCTAAGTAAGTACAAATGGATTACTGAAGAAGAGATATGGAATTAAGAACAAATGAAACCAAATTGATAGACTAGTATGAAAATAGTACCCTAAGGTTGTTTGATCATGTGAAGAAAATGAATGAGGACAGAACCGTAAAATAAATATATAAGGGTTGAGAGAAAGGGGAAGACTGAATTAGTTGATGAGATGCTTAAAAAGGGGAAGATGAGTAGTTTAAAGAAAAGGCAATATATGACCAGGTGTATCAATATGGTGAAAACACAATCGTTTGCTTCCTATCAGAATGTGAGTGGTGGTGTTCTATACTTGATTTAACAATATTTCTTTTTTTAAAAAAAATCATGTATTTTATTTCTTTGGTTTAATAAGTGTTAACACTTGTAGAGGTGTTCTGGAGTTTGTTTGTTAGAGGGATAGGAGTCAGCTAGTTGAGATACTAAGTTTTAATTTTTTTGTTCTATATGTGTTCAAGGGTTATGGGTAATCTGATCATTAGTGTCACTACACAAGTTCAATCCTTATATCACTGATCAAAATGGGCAGTTCTTTCCATTAGAAATACTGCCATTGTATTAGTGGATCAATGCTATCTTGTTATCTGTCTAGAATCTTATCCCTTTTGCTCTCTTTTTTTGTGGGAAAGTGTATAAAACGCTGTTTGTAATTTTAGCATCACTGTGTTTTTATTTTTCCTGATGCCGATTGTCTCTGCATATAAATGCCTAAAGTTATGAATGTTTTATGTTTCTTTTTTCCTTATGTTTAATTGATTTTTGACTTGTGAAATTATTTAATTCTTCAAAGAAGCAGGGACTGTTTTTTCTAGTCACAAACTTGAAAACTAAAACAGATAGGAAGTGGCCCTATAGAATTCCTTTTTATCATCTTTTGTTCCTGCTCTTTGCTTGAAGGCAAGATATCTGTTTTACAGATTGGGATTAGGAGGGCACCAGATAAAGGCATTCCCCAAGGGAGACAGGTGGTGGCAGTGGTAAACTACAACAGGCTGGTAGAAGGTGGGCCACACACAGTGTATAAATCCAAGGTTTTCTGGGAGATGGGCTTTGAAGTTACACCCTTTCACTCTATAGATTCAACCCTGCCACTCACTACTATACCTCAAAAAGAATAGTGCAATGGACATGCAGTTTGATAGTTACATTGTTTGTTTCCCAATTTTAGTGTTACTTTTCAAAGAGCAATCACAACTGCATAAAGTCAGCAGCAAGCTTATCTGTACAGAATACTAATCCTAACTGTAATCGTAGCCCTGTATTTCTTCAGGATTAAACAGGCTAAATTCCTATGCATTATGATATACACAATATTAATAGCCATGTCATATATAGCTAGAGTGAGTCTTGTCCTACTGCTATTTTTTTCCAATAATTCCCCATCTGTGTAAGCCCCACTATCATTATCAATTGTCCAGGAGAACACCTTTGGGAAGGATGGGAAGAATTTTTACAACTGGACCTGCCAATGCAATTTCTCACTGTAATGGCACAGGAAGATGCAACAAAGCAGCGGCAAAAATTAGGCCAGGATTGCAACAATTAGATTTTGACATCTGTCCAAGGATATTTTCTGCTGAGGCTGAGCGTGGATACTTGCACCAATGAATATATATGAGCAATAATATTGGGTTACCTTGGCATGATTATAAATATCCACACAATTTTCTGTGTTGATACTTTTTGCACAGATGATCTCACAGTGACGTTGCAATGCTTCAAGCTGGAAAAATTTAGCAGCAGATAGGAGCTGAAAAATGAGAAAAAGATTATTACAGGTTTGGGGAGGGTAACCATTTTTGTGGGCACCGAAAGGAATATTTCTTTTTCATCTTCTTGGTCTGTCTTTGTACATATTGTAGTATTTCAAATAGTATCTAATGAAACTGAAAACTATGGGTGCTATTTTATTCATTTTTTTCTTTTCTCCAGGGAATGTAATTGCATGCTTTTACAGCACTTTACAAATAAAAAAAATCTATGGGTCAAAAAAATTCCACATGCAGGAAAGATTTTTATTAATTTATTGATCACATTTACACGGATGCCCACTTCATCAAACTCCAGGCAGCTAAATCAATTCAATTAATTTATCATTGATGTCAGTTCCAAATATTTTCATTCAGCCAAATCTAGTAATTTAGCATATGCAATAATAATAGCAGTTTTTAATATAAGATGCCCCTTACCTCCATCACTTCATTGTTTTTAATGAGAAGAGACTCTGAACCTCCACAATAGAGATACTGCATAATAAGCTGAAACCACAAAAAAAAATCCATAAATTACAAAAATACATTTGTTTTTGACGTTGTTGAACACTAAGAGAAAAATGATAAAGCAATGTTATTCCAAAATGGAAAACAGAAAAGAATGAAATAGTATTAATACATTCTAGGATATATTGAAAAGACAGCCCTTATCTCTTTATGCCTGGTGAGTAGTTCTTGTTTCTGTTATTTTCACTCAGGGATTCTTGATAAAGAAAACTACTGGCTGCAACTATGGAATTAACAACTAATTTTCCTCTTAAGAGAGCTCATATTCTCTATTTAGCAGCAGTTTTGTGGGAAGAAATTTGATATGTAAAAGCAGGGCAAGAAAAAAATTCACTATAGTATGCAAATGCAACACAAGGGAAGCCTTCACCTGGTAAATCTCTGCCAGTCATGCTCCTACCAAAGGCAAGCTAAACCTGGCAACTTTTCTTTAAGACACCTCTTTCAAAATAATTAAGGAACACTTAATTATTCATACTGCTGAAACCTCAATATAAGAAATTAAAAAAGAAATGTGTAATATCAGTAATTGAAGGAGCTCACTTCTGACATAAAATGTTCATTTGATTGATTTATTACTGCTAAAGGCAGCCAAACAAATTTAAAAAGCAAAATATAAAAACTAAAAACATAAATTGAAATAAACACTAGAAGTGGCATAAAATCAATCAAGAATTAAACGTCTGTGAAAGAGTTGTATCTTTATATGGTTTTGAACTACTGGCTGAGTGAGAACCAAATGCAGCTTATGAGAGAAGGCCTGAAAGCAATAGGGAAAAAGGTAGAAGATATGTTCAAAAGAGCCTTTCTTGGGTTTCTTAACATTCAGATATATTCCTGATGGGATAGATGGACCCCCAGATACTTAAGAAATTCTTTAGAAGCATTTATGGTGGACAGCAGTTTGGTGTAGAGTTTAAGCTGTTGGTGTAGAAACTAGGAGAGTGTCAGTTCTAGTCTTGCCTTAGGCATGAAACAATGGCTGGATGACTTTGGGTTAGTCACTCTCTCTTAGCCTAACCCACCTCACAAGATTGTTTTTGTGGGGGAAATAGGAGGACAATGAAGAGGTGTTGTGTAAGTTCCCTGCCTTGAGCTATTTGCAAAATAATTAAGGTCTGATAAAAGTCAAACAATCAAAGAAACAAAATTTATCTAACTGACCTCAGATTTCAAACTTTGCTAATAATCTCACCGGCTCAAGGTTGACTCAGCCTTCCATCCTTCCGGGGTAGGTAAAATGAGGACCCAGATTGTTGGGAGCAATGTAAATATATATATACATTGCTTACTGGTGTACACCGCTTAGAGAGTGCTTGCACTTAAAGTGGTATATAAGTCTCATAAATAAATAAATTTCACTTTTTAAACCTGATTACCATTCTATATAAATGTTAAAATATTTAATTCTATGACCAGGCCATAAAGTAGATCAATGTCATTCGTATGTAGTTTGGTTCCAATTAATAACAAAGCTGAAAACAGTAATTAGAGTCCATATTTCAGGAAATTTCTCTTGTTCTATTATTTATATTGAGATTTCTTCACATTACCTGGAAAATGGGATACTTCACATAGCTGATCTCAATGAAAGTGCTATCAGATGCGGGTTTGCTGGACAACAAGGCTTTAAACCTACACAGAAACATCCAAATATATTTGCTATTTCAAGAGAATTTGTAAATTTGTAAAAAAATATACCAACCCAAAGAAAAGGAAAAAAAAAGTTTTGAGGTAAAAACTAGCCTTTGCAATCGCATGGTATAAAGTTCACATACAAGGACAATACTTCTATTGAAGACTCATTTACTCTACATTTTTTAATGTAGAAAAGACATGCTCCAGGGTCTGTCAGTAGCAGCCAAAGCTATGAACTGCTGAATTTCGGAATGCCAGATCACCAGTTCTACTAGCCAACCTTGTTCAAATAGTCAGTTTTTGTGCTAAGTAGTAATTCTGGCATCTCATTTTGAAGGCAGAAGACTCAGAAAGGCTAAATTAGATATTAAAGAAATATCTAATTTCTTCACTTCCACCACCCTTTTTAAGAAGAAGAACTGAAGTGTTTCAGAGAAGGGTAAGAGAACAGTAATTAGCAATAGCTTCTTGAGGTCATCTCAAGTGTCTTCAGCAACAGCCAACCCACCTTTCCACTTTAGAGAAGAAAAGGCCTTGGCAAAGAGGAAACATTATGTTTGGCTCCCAATACCTTATATAATTGTAAAAAAAATGATATTATTCTTCCAGTTGTGATGGGGATTGCTGGAGTACTGTCCAGGAAGGTCTACCTTTATTCAGCTTCAAAGCTAGTAGGAAAACTAGTGTCTAATCATACATACCACAATGACTCTACATTCATAATGGCAAACATATTTCTCCAACTTTAATCTGGAGATGTATTGTTAATAGTGACTTTTAGAGTAAGACTTTAGCATTAGAGCAGAAATATATTTTTGACTGATGAATACAGTCCTGATTGAGTTTGTATTCTTTCTCCTTATGCTTTTCATGTCTCTTTCTGGATTCTACCACACTTTTCAGCCAGCAATTTCTTCAGCGAATGAAGAAATATAAACTTAATTGCAAATTCCTCTTGGGTAACTCATAAATCTGCCTGCCTTTTGTAATCCAAAATGCTAAAACCAAATTTATGCCATATTCATCTATAATATGTATAATTATTTATACCATATTCATCTATAATATGTATAAATACCTAGGGGATGCAGTAAATAGTAATACTCTGTGTGCATAAAATGGTCTTCCTTCCACAAGGAATGTAACATCTGACATCTCTTTATTGTTGAGAAAATGAGGATCTGAAATGACAAAAAAACACAGATTAATTTAAAAAAAAAACCCACTCCAAAGAAAAAAGCAAACAAAAAACAAGAGAAAGACATTTTAATTGGAGTAAATTAAAACACCAATATATTTGGTCCTCATTATAAAAGAGTGTAATTTAAGATGAGTACACTCTTGAAGTTATTTTGAAGAACATAGAACATAAAATAATAGGGTCGGAAGGGACTTGGAGGTTTTCTAGTCCAACCCCCTGCTCAAGCAGGAAGTTTTTCATAGGGCATATACTGAAATATTGTCATCCAAAATGCATCCCCAGCCACTGAGAGAGATTCTAAAACTATTTTTAAAGGTAACAGACATGCTTCAGAGCAATCTAAGATACTTGTGCTGCCTAAGACAGAAGGAGAAATGATGCCCCATTTCCAAGTCCATCTGTAGCACCCCAATTAATCAAATTATTGTACTATCTTGGGAAGACAATCCCACAAGCATCTTTCCTAGGAAATAAAAATATAAAAATAATTGTTTGCTATCTTTATAGGACATCCAAGGCCAGTATTAAGAAAACAATTTCTTGCTTCCGGTTAGGCATCATGGTGTGACGGTGCAGGAAAACGGGGCTCCCATGTTCGATTTCGCCCCGCTGGGGACCCTAAAAAGGGTCAAAGTCGCCCCAGAGAGACAGCAAAGAAAGAGGGGACCCTCGTCGATCACGTGGGGGGGGCGGCCCTTTTGCTGGATCTGAGGAAGCCCTCCAAACTGGGGGGAGAAAGACTGGTTACATTTATGTGGCCAGTCAGAAGCTGCTGACAACCAAAGATAAGCACTAACTAGCAATTTTTGAGCAATGTGGATGGAACTGGGTGAGTTTTTATGACCTTAATACTACTCTCCTGGAAAAAAGAATGCCCAAAGCAAAGAATCCTCCCCAATGAGAGTGAGAAGGGAAGTTTTTGCCCCGCTCCCTCAGGAAAAGAAAAGCAGCAAATTAATTGTTTTGGGGGGAAATAGAGAAAACTATCAATTTGGAATTAATACAGATATATGGCTTTTAAATTTGGGGACTAAAAATACCTTTGAGACTTTTTTTAAAAAGATATTTGAAAGTCTGTAAAATAGGCTTGAATTTGGAAAGCTGGAAGACAGTGTCAATGACATCTAGTGGTGAATCATGGTACTACAATTTATTATGCTTAAAGGAAACTTGGCTGGAAGCCCAGACTTAGATAAGACTCTTTGTTGTTCCTGGAAACTTTCACTTTTGCAGACTGCAGCTGGGAAAAGGAAAAAAAAAACCTTTTGGGCTGCTTATCTGTATTGGGGACCCTAGTGGACTATAAAGACTACATACAAAAACAAAATGGGTATTTCATACTTAGCCTCAAATGGTAAAAAAACTTTAATACTTGTCTCCAAAGCCCCCAGCTTGATATACCAACTAGAAAATGTTAATGAGTCTCATAAAGACATTCTTTTTATGTTGAAATCAATCCAAGAGACAATTGTTTTATTTCATGATGAGACTAAAAATAATGCAAATGAGATAAAAGAACAATTTCCTAACCTAAACTTACAAATCCAGACAATGACTACAAAGAAGGAACTAGTAACCCAGAAAACAGAAGGAAAATTAGAAAAAACGGATCCAATGATGGAGAACCTAAAGGAATGAATTAACAGACAGATATAGACAAATGAAAAATTAGAAGGTGCAGTGATAACACCAGAAATGGAAAAGATATCTTACTTGTCAAGATATTTGAGGATAAGGAAGAAAATCTGATTTGAATGGATGATAAAGCTGTTAGGAGAAATGCTGAATATCGACAAACAAGAAATGAAAAGAAAAGCTGAAGGAGAAGGACAGAGGCTATTTAATGAATATAAATGGGTTGAGCGTTCTTCCAAAAATACTTCAATCAAATTTTCTTCCTCATTCCAAACAATATATACAAAAACAGAGGAAGAATTACTTGATGATTCAAATGCACTGACTTTGAAAATTAATTGGCAAAGGAAGAAAGCTAGAGTAAGACTGAAGAAAATAGAGGTTTTGACCCATTAGATGGGATATTATACTATTAAACAGATGTTTGAATATGGTTAAGAAAATAGATAACTTTTAGAAATAAAAGTATTATTATAATTAGAAGGATAGGATTTGTAATTAGAATATTATATTTTGTTATGAGATGGGAAATATGAAAATGCTAAAAGGGTTTGAATAAGGGAATCTTTTGGTTACCCAAATATAATTTATTATGAGAAAATTATAAGCGATAGAGATATTTTGAACATTGATGGAAAATTAAAATTTTTAAAAAGTGGGAAAAACAGGATATTGATTGAACAAATGGATTTTAAGTGCAAATGCAATTGAGATATGTTCTGGCTAGAAAAGATATAATAAACTGACACTATCGATATGTATAATACCAGGAAAATGTAATGAAGATGTCTATATTTAATTGTATACGTATTAACAATAACAAGAATTATATTTGCCCAGTGTGGAAAAATACATACCACTGGAAAAAGAAAGGACCAAGGAAGCACTGGATGGTGTAGTATTGGAACTAGACTGAAAAAGTTAGTATGTACCACTGAATTACTAATAAACCCAGACAACACATTAGCTGGTGCGTGACATCCGCTGCCTCGTCGGTCTGCTAGTGAGCAGCCAAGGCAGCTCTAAACCCCCAGCTGCCCCTCCACCTCCTGCTTCCTAGACAACACATTGTTTATTAAGTACTTATGATTGTAAAATTAGAAAATTAATAAAATATGTATTTTAAAAAATAAAACAATTTATTTGCTTTGTCTAAAGGCTCAAATGGACAGTTGCACTTTGCAACATTTTTGAGTACAGTGATAAATTTTGGAGTACTGTATTTTTATATTCAAGGTTGCCATATGCTAAATAATAAAATTGAATGTTATATATTATTTTATTTTTCTTGCAAGAAGGATTATGAACTGCCAAAGTCTGGGGAAAGGAGTTGGGTGGGGTTATATATTTTACATCAATATATAAGCCACGGTTTATTTTTTTATTTGTCAGTATTCTTGTTTATATCTAAACACCAGATCTCTTTTAATACAATTTGTTTCCAGCTTCAATAACAGTGATCATGCTGGTCTTGGCTTATAGAAGATACAAAGTTAGAGAAATTAATAATAATAAAACAATAAATCTGGAAAATGCAGATAGTCCTTGATTTATGAACACAATTGAGCCTAAAACTTCTGTTGCCAAGTGAGATAGTTTTTAAATGAGTTTTTGCCCCATTTTACAGAAGTGAATCATGCAGTCTTTAACGAATCTGGTTTCCCCATTGACTTTACTTGTCAGAAGGTCCCAAAAGTTGATCACATGACCATGGGACACTTCAACCATCATAAATATGAGCCAGTTGCCAAGAGTCCAATTCTGATCATGTGACCATGGGGATGCTACAACAGTCATAAGTGTGAAAAACAATCATAAGTTACTTTTTTCAGTGCTGTTGTAGCTTCAAACAATCGCTAAACAAATGGTGCTCAGTCAAGGACTACCTGTATATTGCAGAAATTTAAAATAATATAGATGAAGTTTCCAAACTGCTTCACATGCCTTCCATTTGGGCTACCTAATATACCAACTGCTTCAGATGCCTTCTATTTTCATATGTCCAAATTGTTTGTTACATATTAAACTACCCTAAAGAAAAAGGAAGCTGCTAAACCCAAACAGAACTGTCAGCATATCACTGTTGTGAATGTAAGTTCTGCTAAACAGCGTAAATGATGTGTGGTCTCTTAGTTTGATCTCTAGGAAAAAAATCATCATAAAATCATTATTAAAGTCTACCCATATTCCAAAGTAGAAAATTGGTGAAATAAATGACTGGGATTTGATTGGGAAATGGAAAGGGAGGAAGGAAAAATAGTGATGTTGAGCTTTCCAGTGGTTATATTGAATAGTATATTGCTTGTTTTCATCTGCTGACTTTCTTTCTTTCTTTTTTTGTAAAACCAAAGATCCCAGGCAGCACACTTACCTAAACGAGATGTCTGCTTGCGTTTGATTTCAGTAAGCTTGGGAATAGGGTAAGGTCCATAGCAATGAGTGAAAATGACAGCCAGTTGTTGACTAATCACTTCATTCTGAAACAAAAATGCAGTAAAATAAACACAAATGTTTTATGGTTTACTCACAGGAAATGATGAATATTATACATTGCTGAGGATCTAAAAATGTGAGCAGATATTGACTTACTAAGGTTCTTAACCTTTTCTTCACAACAGACCCCCTTTAAATATCTTCCATGGCCACAGACCATGGCCACGGACCACCAAGACTTAACTCAAGATTAAATCATAACATTTCCTCAATCTTTTGTGACCTCCCTGTGATGACATTGTGTTCTCCCCAGGGGTGGACCACAGGTTGAGAACCACTGCTATAGGTAATTATGCCTCTCATCAGGCAGAATGATACTCCGATAAAACCACATAATGCAAATCTGTTTTTATGCCTTTCAGCTGAGAATTCAGAGGAAATTAACCCAACTTCACAGCTCAATAGAACTGTAAATATATGTGTTCATTTTCTGGCAACTCTAGTAAAAAGGGGATTAACAGCATATATCCATGCATCAGGCACTGAAGGATGGCTGCATAGGAGAGACACAAAAGTGCTATGCCATACTTCAAATTGCTAGGAAAAACTGTACTGTGAAGCATATGAGGACATTCGTGTATCACAGCTGTGTCTTCTCCCAGGATTCTGTCTCTCTCCTCCACTGCTGCAGCATAACCCCAGGAAAATATGCATTTGGTTAAGAAACTGGTACCAGTTCATCTGGTAGCCTGTTTCACTAGTTCACAGGTCGTACAGTCAAGAGATTTTCCTTGATAATATAGCTTAATCTATTCCTCATCAGTTTTAACCCACTGGTACCGATTTTAACCTCTGGGACAATACATAAGTTTGTTCCTGCTTCTAATGGACAATTCTTCAGATATTTGAAAGCTTTCATATCTCTTCTTATCATCTGTTCTCTAGGTTAAATATACCCAGTTCTTTTAACCATTCTTCATAAGAATTGCTTTCCTGATTCCTTCCCATCATGATGACGCTCCTCTGAAATCTCCCTCCCTCCCTCCCTCCCTCTCTCCCTCCCTCTCACTGTATTCCAAGTGGGGTATAATCAGGACAGAGAGTATTATTTCTCATGATCTGGAATGTATGTTCCTTGCACACCATGATAGCATTTGACTCCCCCCCCCCCAATAGCTGCATCATACCCTGGACTCATGACTAACTTATAGTTAACAAAGACATCTGTCTTTTTTACATGTTAAATTGCCAAGCTAAGTTTCTCTTATCCTTTTCTCCTCCTACCTTTAATGCTTTCTACTCGCAGACCTTTACATTTCTCTGTGATAAATTTCATCCTATTCATTTCAATTTATCACTCAAGCCTGTCTACATCTTTTTTCATTTTTCCCTCTCTTCTTTCTTCATCCTTGCCAGCTTTGCATCGTCTGCAAACTTGAAAAGCATTCTCTCAAACTTCCTCAATAAAATTACTAAATAGCACAAGGCCTCAAACAGAACTCTACAACACTCCGTACAATACTGCTGTCCGAGTTGAAATTGAGCAATTAACAAGCAGTCTTTCAGTGAGGTCATGTGGTCTATTGCGAGCTCATCTAATAGTAGTATAGTGCATGTTTTACCATCTTATTAAAGAGAATATAATGAGTGACACTGTCAAAAGACTAGGTAGATGTTCTTCTGATATACTAAGCTATTAAATGCATTTTAGGTATATGTTATTGTAGCCAGTGATTTCAAATAATCAACTGGATTAGTAGAGGAAGGAACAACGGCTGCAGCAAGATGGATGAAAATAACTCTATAATGCTGAATAGTCCATTGAAGTTATGAACTTGGAAGCTTCTGGTCTATAAATCAGGCATTTTTACTGCAAGGCTAGAATCCAGATGCAATAACCAACCCAAATAATCAAATTATAGTTTTCATTCTACTTTTGTCCTATCTAACAATATAGACAGCCACTGTCATTCAAAGCAAATTGCTTTTCAGTTTTTTTTAAGTTTTGGTGACCATAAATTGATGAGATAAAAATATATTTTATTTTTGTCAAGACTAAATTAATTTCTTCAAAAATGGGCAGAAAGACAGGTTGTAAACTAATATGAGCCATCTAATATTAAAATGAATGGATGAAAGAATGATGATGAAGATGGTGATGATATCAGTAGAACCTTTTTAAATATTGTTCAGATGAACATGCTTTCAATCTTTGAGCAATTGCTGAGTTTTTATAAGACAACTGCATTATGTATTGTAATGAGACATGCATTTTTTTTTTCTTCCTGTCTCTGAGAAATCCATCCATATGTGAATTAAAAACAAACTGGGAAAGGGAGATTACTGATTAAAAGATAACTATATTCTAGGAGTTTCAGTTTGTCATAAGCCACACAAATGTGATTATCATCTTCTTCCAGCCGCATCCAGAGGAGTATGAAGGTGGCCTTGAAGAAAGATTTCAACAGCTTTTACAAAAATATAAGTTTAGAACATGGAAGTGAGGGGGGATTAAGCCAGAAATTCAAGTTTGCCCTACCTTGACTCTCATTGGTATAAGATGAAGAAAAAGAATCTCTGTCAGGCTTTCAAGATTCTGTTATTATGCCATAAAATTAATAAGTTAGATTTCCAGTAGATATTATTCAGACTGTTCTGTCTCAAAGGACTGAACTTATGGTATTGTTAACACAAAAAGGAGGACTGCCACAAACTTGTTAAACTGTCTTTGGGGAAAATCTCCAGTATCAGTGTTTCATGATTAAATAATGCTTTGAGAGACCTCTATCAGAAGATTTTAAATTCAATACATCATTAATACCAGTCAATATATGTAAAGCAGGGAATCTAAGATGTTGAAGAGAACAGCCAGAGGCAATGTCAACTTTGAGGAAATAGGTTTTTATTTTGACAAAACTAAATTATACCCTGCCAAAGAGAATACCATTAATCAAATGAGATAGATAAAATGTTTTTCAGTTACTGGGAATAATGCCAAGACTTCAGTTTAAAAAGTTTTTTTTTAATTGGTGCCTCAAAAATTCAGGCCCAGGAAAATGTTTATGGGTCTCAGATCAAAAGAGGGCATACAAGATACAGAATCAATACTTCTTGGTTCTTTGGGAAATTTCAGTGAATATTTCCTTTTCGTAAAAAACAAAACAAAACAGAAGGGTCATTGATGAACTATGTTTTAGGAGGAATCATTTGTAAGGATTTAAATGCAAATCCATCAAATCCAAGGTTAGTTTCTAGACAACACCATGCTAATCAATCATTTTATGTGACACTGGTTAATTATGAATATATTGCCATGCCACACTAGTGTACCTGATGTTTGTCTCTCATATGGAGAATGCAAGATGCACATTTATGAAGATTGTAGCTCCTGGATTTTCTGAACTGTTTAGATACAGAAGTACTGACATTGATGACAAGTAATATATAAGTTACAATAGTCACTAGACCATAAAAAATCTGTCTGGATGAGAGAGATGGAGACAGAATAATCTAGATAAAAGTTTATTTAATTTCAAATTATAACAAATCTCCACCACGGTACTTTCTAAAATAGATGGGATATTTCCTTGAAACAGCATTTGTGTATTAACAACCAAAATCTTTTATTCCTCTAAATAATGCATGTTTCATTATCATACTGTTTTATATTTCAAAGGGCATATTTTATCAAAATAATACTAGGAAACCAAATATGCATTTCAGTTATTATTATTTTCCTTTTAAGGAATTAAACCACAGTGATATAGACTGCTATATCTTCCAGGTCTGATGTAATACTCCAGTCTGGAAGTTAAAAGTTTTTAAAATAATTAAAAGTTGTACAAATTATTTAGAATTTGATTTGTAGTCAAATTATTAATATTAATTGCTTTTACTGTACACAGTTCATTTTTAACCAGCAGAACATTGCTTGGGGGCTGGTTGTTTTCCATGAAAAGAGAAATTGAATTCTTATAAATAAATGTTTTAAGAAATCTATTTAACGATCTGTGATATTCAATACAACATGCAGTCCTTGCTGCACTGCGATGAATGGATCTACTCCAAGAACTAAGAACTTCTGACTTATCAGATTAATCCATCTGCAACGTCTTCACTTTAAATACATCCCTTTCTTTTTCTAAGGAATTCTAACACGAGATTTATTTATTTTTATTTATTTAGAAAACATATATGGCTGCCTATCTTATACATAATACTCCTAGGTACCTCACATCGTTCCATTAAATCAGAATAAATATAACCCACAATAGCATCACATATCACTTCACAGTCCCACAATAGCCTAAAAATTGTACATTTACATTTCCAGGGCTCATTTCTATTGTAGATGGAGATCATCAGCTCAGTTTTTTTTAAACTGCCAATTTTATCCATACATCCTTTTACTTTACTTATCTGCCATATTTATTTTGTAGAACTCCAGGTAGCATACATAATATTCCCTCCTTCTACAGTGCATTTGGGAGGGTGGTGTCTTCAGAAGGAGGACCCTAGTCAAAAATCCTGCAGCTGTTATGTCTTCTCTTTCTTATCATTCTTAATGTGAAGATAGTAGGCACAAAAGGTTGGAATAAAGAAAAAACAAAGGTTCCCAAACAGAAATGCCAGTTGCATCCCACATAATGGTTGAAATTTTGACAAGTTATTGCATGATAAAAGGCTTATCTGGTTACACCCACTAAATGTCATACATGCTGGATTAATTTTCAGGGGTTTGGTTGATCCCAATCAATAGTCGTTTGTTCAATAATCCATTGTTCAATAATCCATTGTTATATTCAAATAGGATGGCATTCAATGTGAATCCATTCATGGAGCAGTGTTTCTATGAATCCCCTAACTTTTCTTCTTGTACGATCCTCTTCATTATTCATTTTTTTTGCTATCACAAATTGTTTCCCATTACATTCAAACTGGCAACCAATTGGGTTTGCTTTCCCTCTACACCAATATTGCAGATCACAGTTTGAAACTAATTTGCAATTTCAGTTTGAAAGTGTATTTACACAAAGTAACTAACAAAATAAGTGTTACTTAATAAGGGGAGAGGAAGAGAGAGGATAACCAGATAGGGCAGTGTAATCTGAAACACAAAAGCATGACAGAGTGTTTTGAATACATTGTCTAATCTGCTTCTGATGAAAATATTTTCCCTGGATTGTAGAACTTGATGGTTTGCTGCTATAAAGATTGCCTTAAATGGCAATATTTTGGTGAAAGTTTTATTGTTACACTTAATTGCATCTTTGCAGTTGTAAAAAGCTTCTGTTTTGCTGTACAAGCTATTTGCTTTATAAGCAGAAAAGCCCATTACAAATAGTTATTATTATCTGAGCTGCAAAATGACAAGTCTGTAGTGTCACCTACCTTACTTGCTTTCAAGATTTCAATCATCAAAGGCAATCCTTGTGTGACGAGTTCTTCAGTGTATTCTTCCTCCTGGATAGATTTAAATTCTTTTAGCAAGCACTGGATGAGGGGCCTTCTATGTTGCTGAAAAGCAGTTCGCAAAGATTCTAACCACGTATGGAGAGTCCATGGAACACCTATTTAAAACAAAAAGTATTCCAAGAATTTCCATTGATTATTTTTAAAAAAATCAGAATCAGTATTATAACATGCAGGCCTTTAACTTATGAATGTGATTCTACATCTATTTTCTTTCCTGAGAATCATTATCAGGCCTAATAGCATTGATTCTGGGCCAATAACACAAATGGAGAATCCAATTTCTATGGCTTTGTGTGCTTTTCCTTTTAAGTACAATTACCAGGTTAAACAAGCAGCCTGTGAAAAGAACAAGGAGGAGGAGTAACAATGGCTTCATGGTAGACACTGAAATCCAAAAATCTAGTCAGATGGACAGACAGAGCAACAGTGGTGAAGAGAAAATGGTTTGGAGAGAGTGAATGCCCAGCTGAAAGTACCTTGCCTGAAGGACTAAAACTGAAAGCTGGAACCATCATGACCAATAAATTATGAGCTACTGTTCATTTTTGTAAACCCACCAGAAGTATAGCAATAGCAATTAGACTTATATACCTCTTCATAGTGCTTTACAGCCCTCTCTAAGAAGTTTACAGTCAGCATATTGTCCCCAACAATCTAGGTCCTCATTTTACTGACCTCGGAAGGATGGAAGGCTGAGTCAACCTTCAGAGTTGAACTCTTGGCATTGGGCAGAGTTAGCCTGCCATACTCCATTCTAACTTCTATGCCACTATAATTATCTCTTAATAGCAGTCTTTTCCAATCTCATCCTCCACGTATGTAGACTTGTAACTCCCAGAATTCTCTGGTTGAGGCATTAATGGAACTGAAAACCTCATATCTGGAAGGAGCCTAATGTGGGAAAATCTGCTCTACACAATCGAGATACTGCAAATTTCAAGTTTATGTTTTTCTACAGTGCTGTTAACTGGTAAAACTCTATTTACCTGAGCAGCCATTTGAAAAAATAATCTCAGTTTGTTAAATGTTTATTAATTAAATTTAATTCTCCATAGAATGTCAAACAGGTAACTTGCATTTTAGAGCTGATTACAAAATAGCTAGTTTAGTTAGAAAAAACACATTGCAGTGACAATGATAAAACAGCATCATTTTATTATTATTTCAGTGTTCTGAAGACATGTACCCAGAAAGTTTTGCTGATTAGGAAAAGTGTTTTAGTCCTAACTAAAGGGACAATTAAAAGAAATGACAGGATTGTAAAATGGTACCCTATGATGTTTACCTGCCTGAAGTATAATTGCGCCATATCAGAATTGCACTTCTCAAAAAGAAATGGGAGAATAATTGTAAGTTGCAGAAACTGAACAACACTTCCATACATTTTTTTTTAAAGTGAGAATTTCTGCAGTAAAAAAAAAACTGCAGGAAGAAAAACTGGGTAACCATGGGAGAATTAAGAATGGAAATATGGTCTTTCCCAAATAAACAAGACAGGACAAATTCCACATGGAACCCCTGGTGCTGTGGCTTTATGTAAATAAAACACCTGGTGTTGAAATTTTATATATTTCTTTTGTAGTAGTAAGAACTATCTGCCAGGATAATTTTTCACACAAAGTGGTTTGCATTGCTTGGGGCCACACTTCTCACCTCTATCTTTGCTTCTGCCACGTTGTCTCTGTTGTTGCCAAGAAAAGCAAGGTCACTCCTATATTGGTGGGACGTCACAGTTTGGAATCCCAAATGATCAGGGTTCCAAAGAGCCTCATAATCCTCCCCATTTTAAGAATGGGGAGGACTAAATGTGCAGCTCTGTTTTCCTTTCTGCTACCAATTTCCTGTTTACCAAAATAACTCATGAATTCAACTATCTAATAGAAATTCTGAGATGCTGATTTTAGAGCAGCATCAGCAGCATGTTCTTTGATGATAATAAGAGAAGATGTTTATTGTTGATCTTCTTTTGGCCTATTCAGTATCTTAAATTCAGGGCAAAAATAACTATAATTTCTGATAGGCATGCAATTTAGGGTACTTATTGATGCTGTTGGATAATGTATGTATTTAACAAATACTATATATGGATATTTCTTAATTGCTCATATGTCGTATCCTTTGAAAAAGCATTGCTCTGAAAATGGGCATATACTATTTTTCTTCCTCCCAGCTGTCTTCTTTGTATTTCTTAGACATATGCAGCATCTGTTTTTGTCCAAACATCCAGCCTGCCCATTCAAGTTTTTTTGTTTTTTCATAAGCAGTTCCTAGTCAATTTCATTTCCCGAGTTAAAATCAGCTTCTTTGCTCTTCAAAGAAGAACTGGATTGAACCAGAATTGCTACTTGTGGAAAAATTCTACATTGTAAAGTCAAACTACCCTCCTCCCAGAAGTTTACTATCTACTAAGCACCCCAGTTTGTCATCTGTTAGGACAGACTAGGGCATTTGCTTAAAAGCAGGATGTTATGTGGTACCGCTGAAATCACATGATCTTTTTCAAAAACATGCACACCTGTTTATTTTAAAATACTTTTAATTAGGAAAGAGTTGAGTAGCCAGAAGCCCTTCATATGCTGCTGAGCTGCTATCTACAGGAGCCACAACCAAAATGGTAAAGAAAGCTGGGAGGTGTAGTTCAGCAACATATTGAGGACCACAATTCTTTACTCAGTTTATTAAATTCGTTTGCTTTCTGTCTTTTCAGAAAATGAATGTCAAGGCAAGCTAAAACCTGTTGTGATTATCTCCAGATGTACACATTTCAAACCAGAGAACCAGAAGCCCTAGTTGAGCTGAAAGGTTTTTTTTTGGGGGGGGGGGCAAAGGAAAAAAATTAGCAGTCTATATCAACTCCTTTATTGGGTGGCACCTAACACCTTCCCCCTTGCTGTGGTCATGATTGTAAAAATGTTCCCAGCTACTCTTGATTTCTTGGCCAAGAGCAAAATATATTTCACTTTGGCTCCAGAAGGTCACAACAATATAAATACAGTATTTATAAATTTACGGAGTGGGAACTGTACTTTTTCTCATATAATAAATCTGTAATTATTAAAAAAAATAGTTGTTTTAACACTTGATTTCCGGTATTCCTAAGTATCTTTATTAGTTGCATGTTTTCTGGTTTGACAAGAACTTGGGAGCAGTCAAAAATTCTCAATTCAACAGACAAGGGTCTCTTACATCAAACCATTTTTCTGACCAGTCATTTCTCATGAGAGAGGAAACCCAAACTGACCTATACTCCTGATGTCAATGGTTACATCCACATATCCATGTTCAGCGCTGTGATACATTGCCTCTTTCAGAGCTTTGAGTCTGGCTTTGCTGTTGCGGCTTGCACATAAAGGAGCAGGCGTGCTATCTGCCAAGTCAGTGCCTTCAGCCAATATCTCCTCCAGGGATAAGATATCACTCTTCTCCTTCTCTGGTTGAGCAAGAAGCTTACGAAACACATTCCTGTCAATCACAAACCAAAAGACAGAAAAGGGAAGGGCAGAGGCCACCATATGGGAATTGTTAACAGTGAAACAGAAGACAACTAGCCATCTGGCTAATATGAATTCTGTTTAATTCATCCAACAAGATCTAGTAAACAAAGTATTTTCTTTTCTTTTCTGTATAGTACATGAGGCTATAGTAGCAAGTCAGAAATTCAAAAACCCCATATCCTGTCCATCAACAGGGTTATATCCAAATGTCATTAATGTTCAATGGAGTTGCTCCCAATGAACAAATAATTAGAAACAAGCAACAGGACCCAGTGTGTTTCCTCTCCCTTACCTCCCACCTACCTGATATGCTTACATCTTGCTAGCTGCGCATGTTCAGTCCTGTGGGGGATAGAATAAGCAATGTATCCAAAGCAAGCGGGCTAAGCGTATGTATCTCTGTGTTTAAACAGGGAGAAGGGTGTTTATTTTGCTATCTGTAATAATGTGTCTATTGTGCTATGCAATAAGAGGAGAAAACATTTGATACCTCTGATAATTGCAATCCAGAATTCTCCAGGTGAAGACAAGCATAGCTAAATGTGTAATAGCTCATAGTAGCTCATAGCTAAAAAGTTCTACAATGAGTTCTTTATTCAACATCTGGCTGATTTGATTTATGACAGATGCATCAAGTTGAAGACTGAATGTGCCCAGATCTAACTTTTCCTGCATCCAAACTTCAGATGAGATGTTATTTCCCAATTTGAACAGAATCCATCCAACCATCCTTATTTTTATAATGGAAATATAAAGCCATTTGTAAAAGAGTTCTGGGGTTGTTGAAATTATGAGAACTGTGATTCCTCTTATCTGGATGGCATCAATTAGTGGAAGATAATGCTAAGCTACAGTATCTATATCCCAAAGGGGTAAGTGTCCAAGTGCATCCCATTCACAGGGACATCAATCTCTATAATTGTATTTCTATAAATTTCTATATAAATCTCTATAGTGATATCACTATAACTAATGGCATTTTAGCTAAGAGTCAGTTGAAATCAGCTCCTGGATCTTTAAAACTAAAGGATATAATGGCATAATGGAAGAAAACCTTGGTAAATGAAAAACATTAGAAGTTGCAAAGACAACTATTCAATCCTTTGTTAACACAAATCATAGACAGTTTCCTTTCAATGGACTTATTTTTTGCATCTTCAGTTCATGTATTTTCTTGGCCCTAATACAGAAATACTAACCTTTCCTCTCTAATTCTACCCACGATTATTTATCAACCAATGATTGCATCATCAAGGGATGATTTATAAGTGTAAATAAGATGTCTGGGTTTAGCAGCACAGACCGAAATTCTGTATGATTTAATGGCATTTTTAGACACCTCATTCACTAAGTGCTTAGTAACAAGATGATTTACAATCATGTGTTACCTGGTTTGTGCCTTTCTGATTCGTATGTATGTATGTATGTATGTATGTATGTATGTATGTATGTGCATGCTTACTCTCCTGCCTTAAACTTGTCGTCTGAAGAACATCTGGACTATTTCCTGATCAAACCTAGTACCTCATATTTCTTTCCTATGGCTTTATATAAGTTGTACATCTATGAACTAGGACTATATTTGAGACTTCTCTCTACTTCAATGGTTCTAACTCCATAAATACTTCTGTCTTTGTCTTTCATTGGAATCTCATTGAAAGGTGCTCCTGCAAGGCTATTTCAGGTGATAGAGCAGCCGAGTTATAAAGCTGAAACAAATATCAAGTGACAGAAAATTATGTTACTCAAGATTTTTTTGTCTCCTCACCCATCAGCCCTAGATACCATAGACCATAGCATGGGATGATACAAGTTGCAGTCTATTAAAATCAGGAGAGTTAAAAGTTCTATCCTGTCCTAGATAGATCCTTGTTTGAGTTGGCCTACTGGTCAATTCTTTGTCTTTTTCCCCAGTCTGGTGGCCTCAGAACTGATATCATAATAAAATATCAGAAGAGAGTGCAGCCAATTTTTTGGGCTATATTTGTTTTGTAGATAATTTAAGGAGCAAAATGAGTACTAATTTAAGGAGCAAAATAAGTACCTTACACTTAAAAAACTGATCTAGCCCCGCAAATATCCCCTAAATGGGACATTTAATCTGATCTGGCAGGAAGTTTAAAGAGTAAAATAGATATGTTAAGCATTTAAAGTAAGAGTTTGCCTGGACAATAATATTTTCCTGACTCTTGGCTATCCTGATTTTTGACTTGTTTTAATATTAATGTCCAACTTGTAACTCATTGCCACTCAACTGCATCTCAATGGGATCTGTTCCTGCCTTATTACTGTTATACATACTACTTCTTTACTTTTGTTTAGTTTTCATGGACAATAGCCATTCCCAGAATGTATACTTTATCTATTTTTTAAAACTAATGTTTAAGAAAAAATTGAATGTAAATTTATATATGTGAATCTTAATGTACAAGAATTGCATGTCATATGCTTTAAACATCCCATTCGAGCATTGTTTAACACTTAACTAAAAGCATACCAATTATACCTGTGTCCATGTGCAGCAGCCTGGCTAAAGGAGTTCATATCACCTTGTGGAGTCATGGAAATTCCATTCCTGTACATTGTTCCAATCATAGGATCAGCACCTCGCTCCAAAAGCAGACTAACCAATTCAAAATTTCCTACAAATCAGTAACAATGAAAGCCTTTTTAAAAAGCCTGCTTCTTGTTCTCTTCAATCAAACAATATTAAGTAAGATATTATGATAAGATAATCCTTACCAGCAGCTGCTGCCAGTTGCAAGGGTGTTTCTGAATAGTTTTCCTCACCATGTTCCAAAGAACCTTCTACTTTGGCTCCTGCATCCAGTAGTAGCTATAAAAGAAATCCATTGTTTTTTCTTAAAAAAAAAAATCTACACAAGAACTAAAATGATCATCCAGCACAGAAGGGCAATCTTCTTCAACGCAGTGCTGAGATCCATTTTACTGCAAGTCCCATAATTCTTATCCAGAATCCGCAGTCTTAAAATTTCTGGAAATGCAAATTAAAGCAGCTGCATTCTGCAAAATACATAAATTCTGGCTATTGCATACAGGTTGAAAAATGACCAACAGATAACTAACAAAGTGATGCAGAAAGTCTAGTTCTTTGGTACAGCCCAAATTTGGTAACAGAAAATAAATAAGTAGAGAAGAGTTAAAGGCCATCAAATTAGGGGCCAGTTCACAAAACAGGATGCTTGTCATTTTTGGTTGCTACCAAGAAAGCATTAAATATCAAGAGAAAAGGTGATAAGAACAGCCAAATTTTAATGCTCTGTGTCAAATGAACCATAGAGTCACACAGGAACATGCAGTTATTCAACTTGTTTGTAGGTTTTTTTCCCTAACACCTCTTTTTTGTTTATACCATTGCTGAGACAGGAATAGTGCACAACAGTAAATGTGTAATATTTTGGTGAAGAGTAAGGACACTGTAGCTACTGTGATATGCTCACAGTCATTACTCCAAATAACGGTCTGTAAAGGATCAGCCCTTCTCTTTTTTCTCCAAAAATGTCCCAAACACTGAATGGTCAACTCTCTGCTTTCTCTTATGACTTCTTTGTTAATCTATCAACTTGATTTATATTTGCTTCAACAAGCTTATGCTTGGTGTCCCAAAAGATTTCTATTGTGTTTTCCCAATGACGGTAAAGTGGATGGGCAACTGCCTTCTTGACAGTTCTTAGGAACTGCAGCCCAGCCATAAATCTTCTCTTTTAACATAATCTAATATTCCATTTTCTCACAATAAATGGAATTTTATGTTATGGGAAACCTAAAGGATTTCAGAGTGATTCTTCAGAGACTGGGGATGTTTGGAATGGACAATACATTAAAACAAATACCAAAGCTGAGAAGTTCAAGAATTTCAGAAATAGAACATCTTTATGTCCCTATATCTCAGGTGGAGCAGACACATGAGGATTCTATCATGAAAATAAACAGTAATTTATGATACAACCACAAATTACCCTAAAGTAGTTTGAGAAGGCAACATACCACATGGTAGCAACTGAACATTTTTTTCACCACCACAGAAACGTCAGTTGAGATTATTATGATACTGGAAAGATTGAGGGAACTAAATATGTTTAAGCTTGAGGGAGAAAAAAACAGCTGAAGAATGTGACAGCACCAGTGATGGGATTCAGCCGGGTCACACCACTTTGGCAGAACCAGTAGCTAATTTTTTGTTGCCCAGTCCCAGAATGGACTTCTGGAAGTGGCATCCACACAGAGAATTGGTTGTTCACATATTTGAATCCCACCACTGGACAACACTCTTCAAGACACCGTATATCCTCTACCACTGCAACTTTTAATCCATTAAAAAAAATCCAAAGATTCAGAAATATAACTATTCAATCTAAGACCAATCTTCCACTTATGTTCTTATTGTTATTGGGTGGATGCCAAAGGAATTATTCACCCATTCCATGTTGTTTGTTGTTGCCAAAGGAACTGTCCCCATCTGATCCATCCCAACAACTCTGATATAATAGAAGAAACTATTTGCAGCTCAGGGTTGAACTGTGGGGTCCTTGGTGCTCTCTGAACTTGGTTGTTTTCTTGCAGATGTTTCATTATCCAACTAGGTAACACCATCAGTGCTAGGAGAGGAAAAGGTTTGCTCCTTATTTATAAAACCCTTAACTCAAATCAGAGTTTTTCCCCAGTCTTTCCAATACAAGCTTCACAAAGACTGGGCAGCCATTTGTCTGAAATGGTATAGAGTTTCCTGCCTGAGCAGGGGTTTGGACTAGATGACCTCCAAGGTCCCTTCCAACATCATCATCATCATCATCATTATTATTATTATTCTGTAACATTTCAAGAAGGATTCAACAAAGGCAACATTTCAACAAACAGTTGGTTTAGTTTGTTCTAGACTAAGCTATGCTAAACTATTACCATTAACTCATACATACATTGATGTACATTATCTATCACTAGTAAAGCGCTCAATCTATCTGATTTTAAATAGATATTGTCCATTTCTTTATTTTAGAAGCCTTCTGCTGGATTAAAATCACTTGACTAGGAGCCATGAAACTACAATGTGCTTGACACTGTTAAATCCTGTTATTGAAAGAGAGAGCAGTAATAAATAGCACTGATGATTGCATCAGCTATAAGCATCTCATGGTGGTCTTGCAGTTGACCTTCCTTATCAGTTCCATCAAAAACAAAACTGCCACTAGGCAATGTGAGACAACAGATGCTGAAAAGTAGCAATCAGCCTTCCAGATATCCTGCTTGAACTTGAAATCCATTCTCTCCTATTATAAGCTACAATTATTTTGTATTCAGATGCAGTTGAGGGCACTAGACTGCTGTCCTCCAGTGAGATGGAAGGCACTATTCTGTCAACAACATTGAAGTAATGTCAGTTGCTAGTTCAATTCACTTCTATATATGCGAAAGGGCTGGGTAGGTGAAAAGCATAACTGTCCACTACTTCAGACACCAAAATGTTTGTGGTGTTCTAAATTACAAAGAAATACAGGAAAACCAGAAAGGCAGAAAAACATCTACCTAGAATGCAGACCACTGGCCACACTGATATTTAACCTACGAATAATGTAAGAACTTTCTTCCTGGATCTTGCTAATAGAGAATGAACAATAACATACTATTTTCAGTTTCACAAGCAGGATATCATAGAGAAGTCATATTTTGCTTCTCTCCAAATATTGGTAATTAGAGATACAGCAAACTTTCTTTCCAGTTTTTCTAATAACCACTGATAAACGTATCCTCTATGAAACTGCCATCATCATTCATCATCTTATGAACTTGGAGCTAGAATTGATAGCCATGAATCCATTATTCTGTTCTATATAGCATAAAGAAATTATAAAGTTTTAGTCAATGAAACTCATTGAATGAGGGTTTTTAGAAACCCAGAACAACTCTATGTGGTCCCTAAACTCCTACAGTATTATCTTTTCTATTCCTTATGTCTATTCTTCTTTTTTAAAACAAGGTTGAACAAAAGGAGGAAAAGAAAGGTAGCTTTCTTTTATAATATATTATAATGTGTCATGATAATATATTATTAAACAATAAATAAATAGGTACATAAAACACATGGTCAAAAATTATCAAAAAGTGCCCATAGGATATTATTGGTATAATTTCATTTTTAATTGCTGTATTTACACTTTGCAGTGATTTAGTCCTTAATTGCATGCAGATTTCTCAGAGTTAATTCTAGCTATCAGATGAGGATTACTTCCTAATAGGTATACTTAAGATTGCAGTCTTATACTTGTAGTTGTATATAATAGAGTTATTATATATCTACAGAGCAAAAAAAGAAGTAGCAAAAGAAACCAATATGAAAATGTCTGCCAAGTATGGGATGATTGCCAATTAAAAACTAACCATGAGAAATAAACTATGAGATGGAGCAAAAGGGAAATACAGTAATACCTGGACTACAGGAATATGTCCATGCAATACAGCAAATGTCAGGGCGGTCCAATGACGGGTCTCAGGATGGACGGATGGATATTTATGAGGAGTATTGACAACCTATAAACAGATAAAGCAGGTTTCTTTTATATATGACTCTTCAGCAAAAGCCATTGTATGTGTAATCAAAACAAACTTGCCAGAATGCTTGACACATTAAGATACAGAGAAAAGAAAAAAAAGCATGCAAAAGAAATTTAAAAAAAAAATTTTTTTATGTTTAATCTAATCAAAATTTTTCTGGGCAAGAAAATAGACTTCCTTAACCATTTCCCTTACATCCTTTTAACCCACCTAGATATGATTCCTACAATCAATTAGTATTCATCTGATGATCACATGAGTACAGCAGTAGCTTCAAACTATATTCCAACGAACAGAAAGATAAAGGGAGATGCTACTCTCCATCTCATTCCTAAAGTATCACAATCACACTCATATAATGTTGGGCAACCTTTCTACCGAACCTAGTGGACCTGAAGGCTATGAGTTCCTCAGAAATCAGTGCTCTGACTTAGACACAACATTATAAGAAAAGGTTTTTGAGAGCCCTGGTCTCAAACACACCCTTTCCCTCCTACTAAATAGACAGAAATAAACAGTAGAATCCCACTTTAAATTTAGAAGAAGTGTGGTTCAATGGGCTGTCTAAACTAGACATGGTTCATGGCACCATCACCAGCTTAAGCAGAGCAGAGACAGGGAAATACTCTATTCTCTGCTGCCTATTCTACTCTGCTATGGCAGCAGATAGAGTGCTGAAAGCTCTATGGCGGGGGTCCCCAACCCCCGGTCCATGGACCTGTACAGGGCCGCAGCATGCCAGCAATCGGTCTGCACAAACAAGCAAATCCCCATCCTTAGGATGCAGGCAGCACACAAAACCACACACTGTCCGGTCTGTGGAAAGACCTTTCTCCATGGAACCGGTCCCTGGTGCCCAAAAGGCTGGGGACCTCTGCTCTATAGTTCTTTTCCCATTTTCCCCAGCTCTTTGCCATACACCATTCTTTAGTCTGAACCTTAAGCTATAGTTAATTTTAACTATATAATAAGCTAACTTTAACTTAAAGTCAGGATTATGAATTATATTAACATTAAAGATAGTTTACTATGATGCCTGAAATAATTCCCTAAAAAGATATTGTTGGCTTGGGGGGGAGGTAGTTCCATGATCTATACAATGTATATATTTTTCTTGTTCTGGCCATCCTAAACAGCAGAAGATTGACTTCAGCAGATTTCAATTAAGTTTAGAATCTTGAACTAACCATCTCAATTTTTTCTTTGTAATCTTCATTATTCCATTGCTGGCAGGAAAACACTCTGATAGCTTCTACTATCTAGTCAATCATCAGTTGTAAACTGATGTACTAGCTGTAATTGATTATTTGTTGGAACATGTAAAAAAAGATGCCTACAAATGTCAGCTTCACACAGGAATGGCCTCATGCTAAGCTATTTGGGAGTTTTTAAAGGTTAGACCGGGAATTTAAAAAGACACCGACATATTTAGTGTCTATATATTGGAAATTAGTTCTCAAATGAAATTCTCATCAGCTCAATGTGAAAATATTTTGATAATAGCATAATTTCTATTATCTGCAGTTCAGCTTATTTCAAGACAACAAGTAACATCATAATGCAGAGGTATCTGAAACTCTGAATAGACAAATCCCGGCATAAACTCTTAAAAAAGATATAAATTGCTGCATATCATTTTTTTTAAAAAAAAATCCTAATCCATAACCAAATGAACAAAACATAAAAACTATTATCCTAATGCATAGCTCAGGTTTTAAACATAGCATGAAACCTTGACTACATGAGATAATATTAATTAAACTTTCCTGCATATCAATAAAGAGCTAATCCAATATAAAAAACTAGGTAGTATTATCTTCTTTAACAAAAAATATTTTTGGCTGCACCCCAGATTTACTTTTTCAAATTCTGATTTTGCCAGCTTGTAACTTTATACCATGTGAACAAAAGTTAAAAGCATACATCTATTCAATCACTTTCCAAAGTCCCACAATTCGTTCCACAATGACCCTGAGAGAGAATGACTGGCCCAAAGGTATCCAGCTGGCTAAGGTAGGACCAGAACTCACAGTTCCTGGTGTCTAGCTTGGTGCCTTAACTATTAGACCAGTGGTGGCGAACCTATGGCATGAGTGCCAGAGGGGGCACTCAGAGCCCTCTCTGTGGGCACGGGCGCCATTGCCCCAGTCCTAGGCCTTCAGCTGGGTTTTATAAAACCTTTTCGCTTTAGGCCTCCGCTGCCATGTGCAAAAAAAAAAAAAAAAAAAGGTTCAATCAATCAATCAATTTAAACTTCTCCCAGAAAAAAAAAAGCTCTGCAAAGTTGGAATTGATTGATTGAACTTTTTAGTCCCACCCAGTCTGCCATTACCACCGCAGCCACGCCCACCCAATGGGCCACACCTACCCAATGGGTCACATCCACCCGGGACCCGACGATGCATAAGTGGGTTTTGGGTTGCAGTTTGGGCACTCGGTCTCTAAAAGGTTCGCCATCCCTATATTAGACCAAACTGGCTCTTTTTCCCTCTGTCAGAATCTACTGCCTCTTTTTTGGTACAAATGAATAAGACTTTATAACTAGTACTTAGTATCACCCAGCTATAGGATTTCTGTCCCTTCTTTTATAACTAGCCCTAAAGAAATACAAATGGCTCTTCAATCCCTTCTATAACATGGTTTGGTAATAAGCTTTTGTTGGCTTGAAGGTTAAAAATGAAAGTTGTCTCATTACAGATATCCCATCGCAGCTAATGACAAGGTTCTTTGATATCAACATGCTGCTTCAGCATTGCAATGCAATACTAACGTTTAAAAGGTGATGGTTTTTCATATTGGTATAGCAATTTCTCACACCAGGGAAATATTTTCTATTTTTAAAAATTCCTATCCCAATCTGACTACATTTTCCAATGAAGCATTCCACCAGAGCCTCTGTTGTGCAAACATCATGAAAAACCAATTTTAAATATTTGAACAAATGGCAAACCAGATTGCATCAATTTTCAATTGCTAAAAGACATTTAGCAGAGCAACAGAAAAGTCCAGCACTGGGTCCTATTTTAGCATTTTGTAACTATATTTACCTTATCTTAATCTACCCCATTTCTCCTTCAAAATTTCTGCAAGTAGCAAAGCATGATTTACCCCAAAGCATGAATAAATCAACTTCAACCACTCTTTCCTCTATTCTCATTTTCTTTCGGTATGCTCTTGTATGATGAAAATTATGTTTGCACCCTATGTAATTATCTTCAATTACCCTTCAAAATATATTAGTTTAATATGTAGATTGTCATTTATCTACAATGGTCACAGCCTATTAGATAAAGTTTGAGAAGCTATCAAAGATTAATAAATCTCCCATTATTAAGTCTTGCTGTTTTCACTGCACTGTCAGCAATAGAAAGCATAATTTTTCTCTGAAACAAGCTACTATTCATTCATTGTATTGTGGGTAGCCTTGGGCAAGCTAAAAAGTAAACAAAAAAAATGCTGCATCATCTTTTTTATCCCAGCCCAATGATTCTGGCTCTTTTAGACTCGAAGAGCCTGTCATACATTTATGAAGTGGTTGGCACAACATAGGAGAACAAACCCATCAGGGCAAGATTCAGCAGTCCATCTGTATTTAAAAGACAAAGGCCACTCTTTCGAAGACAGCAAAGTTCACATTTTGGACAAAGAAGACCGCTGGTTTGAAAGAAGGGTCAAAGAGGCCATCTATGTCAAAACTGAATAGTCCTCTCTCATCAGAGAGGGAGGGATACGACATCATCTATCTTCAGTCTACAACACAGTCCCTTCAACAGTTCCAAGAAGGCTCCACACCCATTTGCACTACTCAGGTGACCCTGACAACACAGATAAGCCTCCAGGTAGCATCAATGACTCTCTAAAAGAATGTAAATGACCAGCTGTCTGCAAGAAGTATAAATTCTTCCATTCCCCACCATCCAATCAGAGCTGATGAAGCTTCTTGGATGAAAAGCAATACGTCTTTAAAGAGAAAAAAGAAAGTCCAGTTGCCTCATGAAAAAGCACCTTTGGAACAACCGTGACCTGGATGACTGAAAATCTCCATAAACATTGAACTGAAATTATGTATCATTCACCCTCAGATGGTTCTTTTTTTTATATTGCCAAAGAGCTTTGTAAACAAGGACACAAAAATAGATTGTAAAAAAAAAAGTCACTGTTCTACAGGACGCAGCAGAAGAGAGACAGAAATAATGACTGCAAAAGAAAGAGCAACTCATTTCAGCTGGATGTTGAAAAGAGGCTGAATTTTTTACTGCTTTTCCATAGATCCACCCTCCTCCTCCTCCCCTTCTTCTTCACGTCCTCTTTTACCGCTTTGGGTGTTGAGGAAATAAAAAGTACTGGTTCTTGCTCTTCTGGTGGCCTCAACCATTATTAATTGATGTCGTGATAGTGTGTCTTTGATGTTGTCTCTCCATTTTCTTTTTGGTTTGCCTCGTATTCTTTGACCTTCTCTTTTTGTGTATGCCTTGTATGGTAGGGAATCCCGTGACATCCTTTCCAAGTGAGCAAACCACTTTATCGGCTCTTTTTCTATTTGTAGTTTAAGATTGGTTCTATGCCTATTTTTCTTCTTCTGGTCACTGCAGCAGTTTCCCTCAAACATCTCCCTTTGTGATGACTAACTTTCATTTATGTTACCATGTTTGGCACTGGTAACAAAGTGGGGATGAATGTGCTTTTTATGAGATGCTTCTTTATTGTTTATTCTTCTTTATTCTTTATTGATTGACTGCCTGGTTAGCTTAGTTCACTCTCTGTATGCATATAATGTCATAGTTTCATTGACTGATTCACTGATATTTAAGTCACCTTTTGTTCAGGAGCTTAAAGTGAAGTCCTAGTGACCAAACCAGGGTTTAAATACAATTATATGAAAGAAGCATGTATACCAGACCATGTACATACCAGTCCATAAAAATACTGATGCAGACAAATTCTGTAGCTTGTTTCCACAGTTCCACCAGTAAGATTTTCATTGGCTTACTTCTTAGTGAACTGATCAAGCTGCATCTGGACTTAAAATTTAAATGAAGCTCCCAATGAAAGAGAAGGCTAGTCTAAAGGTTGGATTGATTTGTATATCATGCTAAGATGTAAGATGGCTTGTTTGGTTTTGGCTTACTATAAACCATCAAAAGATCTTGGTAGATGATAGTGCAGTAAATTTAAAAAATTAAATTAAAATGGATGAAATAATAATAATAATAATAATAATAATAATAATAATAATAATAATAATAATAATAATAATATTTCCCTCCATGTAGATGCAGTTCCATTGAGGACCACACGCTGAGTACAGCTGGTCAGCCAGCTACAAATCCATCTGGTGGTGATGCTGTCTAACCCACATTTTTCTACCTTATCAAGTAGTAGGTTGTGGTCTACTTTATCAAATCCCTTACTGAAGTCCAAGTAAATTATATCCACAGCATTCCTCTGGTGCACTAATTTTGTCACCTGGTCAAAGAATGCAATAAGATTTCTCTGGCCATGTTTAACAAATTAGGAACTAAAATGTTTTGATCATTAAATAATACTGCTGATAATATGAAGTGATGCATTTGAAAGATACCATAGGGCAGTGGTTGTCAGCCTTTTCTTCACTACTGACCCCCTTTAAATTCCTTTTGTGGCCACAGACCATGGCCAAGAACCCCCAAGACTTCACTCAAGATTTAAACCATAACATTTCTTAACGCTTTTGCGGACCCCCTATGATGACAGGCCCTCCCAGGGGTCCATAGATCACAGGTGGAGAACCCCTGCCATAAGAGTCCTGGGTTTACTATCAGTAGATATTAGGTCTTGATATCATTGCTGGATAAGCATTGCTGCTTTGCTCAATAACTTTTGGCTTTCAAGGATTCTATTTTTCATCCCTGTATGAAAGAATCATTATTAAAGAGAGGGAGTGTTACATGCATCAGAGGATAAAAATGTTCCTGACGATGGTTCAGAAAAAGAAACCTGGATTTTACATTTTAGCTGTTCTAACAAAGACACACAGCATTTTAAAATATGAGTGCCCTTATCTTTGGCTTCCTGCGTTTTTAACCTGTCTTCCCAGAACAGATGCAATCATAAAAATAGTCTCACCTCAGCATTTAGATCTGCTCCAGCATCCAGTAACATCTGGACCATAGCCTCATCACCCCGCACACAAGCATACATCAATGGAGTCATACCCTGTGTGGATAGCAGTATTCATAATCATTGATTTATAACCTATCTTTTATTCAGGATCACAAGGTGAGGCCCTAATGACCAGACCAGGGCTCAAATACAAGAAGCATGACACTAGACCATGTGCAAACAGCTATCAGTCCACAAATATATTGTTTGATTTAGACAAGTTTTATTGGATATGATTTAATTCAGATAAATTTTGTTTGATATTATTTAATTCAGACAAGTTTTATTTGGTATTATTTGATTCAGACAAGTTTTATTTGATATTATTTAATTCAGACAAGTTTTATTTGATATTATTTGATTCAGACAAGTTTTATTTGGTATTATTTGATTCAGACAAGTTTTATTTGATATTATTTGATTCAGACAAGTTTTATTTGATATTATTTGATATGTGAGGAAAAACTGAAAGGAGATAACTATATAGCTAACCTAATCACTAGCATGATAGGCAGAAACCCCCCCCCCACAAGAAATACTCATGAGTGTCCATGAGTCTCTATGTCAAATGATAACCTTATGAAATATGAAGTTGATCTGTGTGTCTGGGTTTGCCCATTTATTTCATCAAACTTTTTTTTCAAATTTCATTTAGAAAAACAGATGTGTGATGTTCAAAATGTGGATGAGTTCAGGTAGTCCTCAACATACAGCCAGCAAGGCGGGTAGTTAGGCAAGTCACAACTGCTTTTACAAACCTTTTTTGGCATGGTTATTAAAAGAATCATGTGGTCGTTAAGTGAATCCTGGTTCCCCCATTGACTTTACTTGTCAGAAGCCAGCTGTGAAGTCACAAATGGCGACCATAGCAAACACTGTAAACACATGGCAGTTGCCAAGTGCCTGAATTTTGCTCCTGTGAACATGGAGATGCTGCGATAGTTATGCCTGAGTTACCTTTTCACTAACATTGTAACTTTAAATGGTCACTAAATGAGTAGCTGTAAATCAAGGACTACCAGTAAAGCATTCTTTTTAAAAAGCTGTTTATTAACTTTTGATTAACTTCTTTGCCAAGATGAAGGTTTTGATCTCAAGACCTTTATGGAGTCTGGACTCCACTCTAGTGTTAGGCATTTATTTTGTAGCGTAGTCCTTCATCATTTTTATGTGGTTATTTTAACAGGTTAGACTGGAGCTTTATATTAATTGCCAAAACTACTAACTGCAATTGGAGGAGTAGAAGCTTTGATATGCATGCCTTTAATATATACTGATTTAATTTGAAATGAAATGCCAGGCAGCTCTGTTGAGAGTTCCTAGCTCTAGGGCAGTGTTTCCCAAACTTGACAATTTTAAGGCATGTGGACTTCAACTCCCAGAATTCCACAGCCAGCAGCGCTGGCTGTGGCATTCTGGGAGTTGAAGTCCACATGCCTTAAAATTGTCAAGTTTGGGAAACACTGCTCTAGGGAAATGCTGCCCTGTTTGGAGGAAAACTAGATTAACTGGCTCTTCACTACAGAGTCTCTAGCTGAAAAATTATATTAATCTGAAATACTCTGTGCAGCTGATCAAGATATCCTTTGTGATTAATATTTCTTTGACAACATTAGGCACAAATGTAGTCAGAAAGGGAGAGTTAATCATTACCCAAAAATATGAACGAAAAAAGAAAAATAACTCAATTTTTGTTTGTTTGAATTAAAGAGAGGTGCATGCACCAAAAAGAGAACAAATGGATGGAGCAAGAAAAAGTAATTTGCTTCCATTCTGCAAAGAGACCTCTCTTTTATGGTAGGGCTAAGTTTTCCTAAATGTTTCAGGATTTTTACAGTTTTTGTTTTGTTTCTTTAGAGATTTTAAAAGCAAATATGAATGATGTACGTATACAATCTTATTATTTCTTTATTGGTGAAAACAGAACAGGGAAACTTGCCCTTATTATTGGGCTGTGAGATTCCTGGAGTTTCAGTGGTTACAAAGGAGGGATGTACAGTTGTTCCCAAGAATTATTTTAAGTAGGCATTCCATCTATGTTACCAATGACTGATCATGAATATGTCTGTAATAAACTTCCCACATAAGCAACCCATCCGCGTAAAGGGAACTCACTGTCCCCTAAGCACTTCGTTTTGAGCTGTTCAGAAAATTGATATTTAATTTCAAACTTTCTTTTTAAGCTAAGTCTCCTTTTTTCTACATGGGTTATAATTCTTTATACCTGTTCACTCATGCTGTTAATTCCATCTGGCCCCAGTAAAGATATGGCCTGCTTGACCAAGTCTGTTCGGCCACAGGTCAACATCCGGAACCCTAGATCTTGCTTGAACTTTGCTTCTGTGGCTACTGCGTCCAGTTTCCGAGAAGCACAGAAGCAGTCATCAATTCTGCGAATCGAAGAAAAGAGTTAGAAAATTCTTTCAAAAGAGATTTTGGCCATTCATTTTTCCACTGCCACATTCTGCCTTTGAATGACATACACTGTCATTGCAACAAACAACCTGAATAATGTACTGTCAAGGAGGATTTACATAGAGAAAACCTCACCCCAAAACCACAACTATTCCTACCAGGTTCTTCTAGACTGGTGTGGCACAGTTTTGCCCTGAGTTTCTTTCCCTTAATATAGAATTGCAGTTATGACATTTGATTGTTATTTTAAATTTTAAAGGAGCCCAGTAATTGTCAGGAAAAAGCAGGAGCTCAGACAGATAAGAGCTAATAGACAGAGACTACGATCAAATAGATTTGGGCTAAAGGCGAGGCTTTTGGACATAAATACTGGTTCCCGGAGCTGGAAGGAGTCTCACCCCCCCTTTTTTTTGTCTGATGAGAAAAATGTAGACTGTAGGATGGAGGCACTTAAAGGACAGACAGTCATCAGGAGAGGAAAAACTCTGTCTTGCATTCAGCCAAGTACTGTAGCATCTTCAACCTGTGACACTCTAGAGATGTACATCTGCTATTGCCTTTAATTTCTAATGACTGTTCTAGATCTGGCCTCTATTAACAATTCTTTCCTAGTAAATATAAGAAATTACATCAAGTCTTTTAACATAAAGTCAGCCTGGTTGCTGTCAGTTTTGTTTTCTATCTCTTACGGAAGGAAAGAAAGAAACAGGATGAAACCAGCTAAGTGTTAACAGCTAAGTTTTACTATACCAAACATGGGATCCAGCAAATGTCTATCGAGATTGTCAGTCATCCAGGTCATAGTTATCCCAAAGGTGCTTTTTCATGAGGCAACTGGACTTTCTTGTTTTCTTTTGAAGACATTTCACTTCTCATCCAAGAAGCTTCTTCAGCTCTGAAGCTTCTTGGATGAGAAACGAAACATTTTCAAAGAAAAACAAGTAAGTCCAGTTGCCTCGTGAAAAAGCACCTTTGGGGATGGGATCCAGCAATCATTTTATTGTTCTCTCTTCTTTACAGCAAGACTTTGGAAAAGTCATCTTAATATTACTTTTGCACTTAATGGGGCCCTCTTGCAGTTCTGCAGGCTTCCTACAGTTTATCAAGGACTGTAATTTAGGGCCATTTTTTCTTTCCTTTTTAGATGTTGTAAAATCATTTTGACTGTTCATGTAAAACTGTAACTGTGCAAATAGTTGCATAAGCACTTAATTGGTCTAATTAAATCATTGTCTTTAGAGTGATCTTTGTCTCCTTTTCTAAATAGCTACTTTAGCATCTTATCCCTGATCATTTTCAAAATTAGACAATTTCTAATATCAGGATTTAGCAGTTCTTTCTACCTTAATCTGAATTCCTAGAGCCTATGTTTTGTGATTATATCATGCTAAATATAAATAGTTCTGTACTGCCTTGACATTTCACAGTCATTGGACATTTCCATACTATGAACAATTTTATCTTGTGAATCCTCACAAAGCTCTTTGAAACAGAATTGCAATTATTGTCAGTGTAAATTTCAGCCATCCTTGAAACGCAGATCATTTCTATATATGAAGGTTAGCTATGTTAGGGAAGGTGGATCGCAAAAATGTAAATAGAAGTGCTGAAGTCTAAAAACGGTTTCTTGGTTGCTCTCTGCCTTTAAAAAGTCTCTGTGACTTCCAAAGATGAAATAAGAGCATATAGGTTATTTTTTTAATAATTAAAACCACAATTGTGTGTATAGTATAGTACAGGGGTTCCCAACCCCTGGTCCATGGACCAGTACCAGGCCACGGAATGCCAGCAACCGGTCCACATAAACAAGCAAAGTCCCATCTGTGGGATGCAGGCAGCATACAAAACCACGCACCCTCTGGTCCATGGAAAAACCTCTCTCCACAGAACCGGTCCCTGGTGACCAAAAGGTTGGGGACATCTGAAACTAGGGAGAAGAAATATAATTTCTGAACAATCCATGCACATTGGGCACTCCAGCAATAAGATATTAATCTTCTACTGAGGCAAAGAGATAATACAGTGGAAGAGGCTGGTTTGAATCCAGATGTTGGGAGACAAGGTGAAACAACACTTCAACTAACAGGAAAAAGAATCACTTACAAAGGCCACAGAATCACACCTATGCAATGCAAAGGATAACCAAATTTCAATATTGGCTTTGCCAGAGCAGAATGAACTGTGATAATGAAGAATTCCAAAACATTGTTATGAAAATATACACTGCCTCCAAAACGCCTATCCTATGAATTCCTATCATACACAAAATAATTGATGCTTATATTAACAACCTCTGATACTGAAAAGATACCTTATTGTGTCAAACACAGGAAACACTGATTTACAAATTTTAGGAAATTATCGACCTCCGAGATAAAATGTGTTAATTCTTACATATTTTTATAGATGAATTAAAAAACAGGTGGTAAAGGTGCTGGTTGGCTAAAGTTTTCAAGATATTTCACAATAAAGAATTATATACAGGTGAGTATATTTTCCTATAAGGGAGGGAGGCGTCTAATGATCATGATGCCTCGTAACTTTTCGACAAAATATGGTAGAACAATAAAAATGGTACCACATGGAAGTGTATAAATTTATCTTCACTTTAAGACTAATGATTATTACCCAACAGTAATTTATTGTTCTTTTATTGCAAGGTACGTTTGTCTTGGTCAGACCTACTCATCATATAGTTACATCTGGTAGCTTGTGAAAGTGTCATTGCCTAACATTTCCAAGAACAGTTGTGTGATATTTTCCTTCAGAAGCCAAGATGCCTCAAAACTGTTATAAACAATGCAGAAATCTTCTGCTACAGTTGTGGTGAGGTTACATTTGCATCTCAAAAGTGCAGTATGACACTTCCAGATGCATTGAACATAATTTCTAATAAGCTAATACAGCTGATACAGACCACTGCATAAAAGTGAAGGAAATATATTGGTATCTTATTTCCTCTGGCAGGGCAAAACTGTTTGGGGAAGCAAATTATATTTGGGAAATGGGGTCTACGGAAGGGGCCTCAGTTCACCGTTCTTCTGCTATACTGATTCAATTCAGGAAGTCTTAAAACTGCATTTCAGGCTGGGCAATGAAACATAAAAATATCTAGACAAATTTCCTATCAAGTAAGTTTTCAAATCCTATTCATTCTCTGGAATCATCATCAGCAGAAGACTGCTGGATTGTGAAGGAGTTTGTTTACAGCCACACGCTGGGGTGATATTTTTGTCCCTAATTATTGCAGCTCTCACGGCTGAAATTAGAGAATTAGTCAAAATTCAAGATGCGGACAAGGACACTCAAGGAGAAAAGCATATGAAGGGGATATTGAAACTAATTTGGAGAAAACTATATTGTTTTATTCTATTTTTTGGCTCTATATTATTTTACTTTATTGCTCTTCCTTGTTTATTTAAATATGGTAAGGTTATTAATGCTTTCCCTAAGTCACTTTCAGCTTGCTCATTATACTGTATCTACCCAAACTATACTCTCAGGAAGTAAGTTGTGGAAGGCATAAAAGAATTGTGCACATATATGCTTTTTCATAAATATGTAACAATTATAGTCTACTCTCTTTCCATTCTTGAGTCATCCAACTACATGTCATTCTTAGAATCTAAACACTGATCTATCACCTTCAGATCCTACTAAATCACTGTGCTATCTGGGGCTTATGATAGCATCATGATAACTCCTCTACAGACTATTAAACCACTCAAGATTTGGTCTTCTTGGTCAATTCCCAAGCATAGACAACTGCCAGGCAATCAGTAATTAGCCACCAGTGACAACTGTTTTGACTTAACTGTTTGTGTCTAAATATAAACTTCTGTTCACCCAGTTAAGAGAAAAAAAGATGAAAAAGAGAGGATATGCCCAAGCATGGTGGCAATTGTGTATTATTTTAAAACTGCTGGCAGTCAAGTATCACAACATTTGGACTTCTTTATCAAACCAGCATGCTTAAATAGGATAACAGCTGGGATGGAAAGGGCAAGAAACACAGACTGTCTCTTTAAAGCAAGGCAATGTTACATTCTTGATTGAGGAGTGGCAAATCTCCCTTGAAACAGTTTCCTTTCATTTGTCAGAAGGAACAAAGAAACTTGGAATTTATTGCAATGGTCAATCTCTAGCTACAACATCATCTGATCAGTGGGAGAAAAGTTCATCTCATTCTAGTAAAAGAGCTAAATATGAATAAGGGATTTCTAGAATATGAACATGACACCAAGCTCTCATAAGTAATTGCATATATTAGGAATAAGCAAAAATCTGGCAAATTTCTGTTTATTCTACAGTAACTGTGACTGCCCAACAAACAATAGTTTCAACTTTTTAATTGAAATATAAATAAAATCTGAGGTTGGCTATTTACTTAGCTTCAGAGTTCATCACTTATAAGATATGATGAACAACACAATAACACCCCTAATCCAAACACCCACTTTTGGCATATATTAACTCTTATGCTTAGTAACACCATTAGAAGTTCTTTTTTTTTTTTGCATTGATACAAAAAATGTTGAAATCTGCTAACATATTCACAGTAGATGATTCTTTTCTCATACAGCGATAGGAGATAATTGACTGTGACGATCTTGACAAAAATATTCATGTTTGTTTGGGGTTGAAATCATTGGTCTTCAAAGAAGACCTCCAAATTGACATTTCTATTTTGCTCTGAAGATATTCAGCAACCACATGATAACCACATGATAATTCCTGCCTTGACAGGTTCTTAATGCCAAACACCAAGTCATCTTGTGTAAGGGTGGGGTGGGTGAAATCTCTCAGAATGCAAAATACATCAACTTTTATGTTTTTTTTTAAACTTCCACATATGTGAGAACCATGGCAACAGCCTTCTTTATAAAAGCCAACACATAAAATATATAGTGGCATTATGAAATTACTAGATGAAATGGTGCCTTTTATTTATTATATTAAAAATAAGCCAAACTAATAGCAACACTGCATCTTTTCAGAAAGAGACAGCACCATGAAAAGCAAAATCTTACAGCAGAAGCTAAGTGGAAAAGGGCCCAGCTACAGCAAGGAAGAGGAAGAAGGCAATTTTACAGCCTTTGAAGCAGCAGCTCCAAATTTTGCAAACGGGCACAGCAAGACTGAACTAAATCAGATGAACATTTCAGTCCCTCGGAAGAATAGCATCTGATAACAAAGGAGAAAAACAAACAAGAATTCAAAAGGAAGGGCTTAAGGCTTGATCCAGGTAAACATGCAAGCATATCAGCCTTATAGATTCAGTTGCTGGATGGAAAGAAATGCCTTTTATGAAATAGCTAAAAAATGTAAAGCGATTCAGATCTGCAAATGCAATTGACCTCATGTTCTATGTTGTTACACAGCATACCAATTTCTTTATCATATAATGTCACTGCTTTGCACAGACTTACTTTAACTGCCGAGGTTCACAGTCAACTCCTGGAAACAACAGCCGGGCTGCTTGTCGTACATCATCACTATCCACAGAGAAGCTGCGACGGTGCCCTGCGTGAGCCAGAGCGACTCTTATCCATTCCATCAGAGGGGGCAGCACTATAAACGGCCTGCAAAGCAAAACAAAGAAGCTGGTTTCCCTGGGCAAATCACGATCTGTCCATGATTCTCAGACATGCTGAAAGCTCTGAACAACACAGTGAAGCAAACAGTGCAATAATAGCAATGATAATGTATTGTTACATTACAATTATTATTACTATGGTCAGTTGCATGGTCAGCCAGATGTTTAGACTGGATTTTTATCTACCTATCAAATCTTTCCCAAGGACCTGGGATTATTATAATTATTATTATACAGTGGAATAATACCAATAATTTATTCAACTTGTATGCCACCCAACTCTCAATGATTCTGGTTATTATAAAATAAAATATAATTAAATTATTTAAAAAGTATCCTTCTTCATCTACGGAAATTGGTTTCCTTTCCCTGTAATAACATTTCCCAAATGTTTGCACATGTTTTATTTTCCAATCCATATGTATTTCCTTTGGGATTTGCACACTTTTACTCCATATTAAGAAAAACTTAAATCCCACTCACAGTCAAAACAGCTACTCATTTTCTTTAAAGTCAGAGAGGTAGTATTTATCAAAGCTTCTTTTTCAGATATAAACAAAGAACCAGAGTAATAGGATAGCCCACTCCTTCCTCTCAACCAATCTGATAGAAAGAATGATGAACTATTTACTTTGAAAGGTGTGTGATGTTAACATAAATCTTATTATTCAATGTCCTGAACACAACATGTCTGCCTGATACTAAAAATGCAATGACCTTGAGAATTTAATAGTTCTTTCATGAATAACTAATATTTTGCTTTTAAAGTTGCAATCCACAGCAAGTACTTTGGAATAAAATAAATTTCAGAATGATAGCCATCAGTTTCCTTTGTCGAAATTCAGCAGTCTAATTTTAATTCCAACACTGCAACCTGTCCTGCCTCTGGCAAAAGGTCAAGACTTGCACTCTCTCATTACAAATACAGGATTTGAGAGCAAGACAGAAAATACTAGAATTCAAAAGAAAGGCTTAGGGCTTGGTTTAGCTACTTAAAAGGGAGGCACACATACATATCTTGCAGACTCCAAAGAGGCAGTTTATTAAACTCTGCCTATTCAGCCTGTGTAAAAAACATCTGGTGATATGGCATGAGAGTAATATATGATACACTCTGGGGATCACAATAAATATGTGATGACAAACGATGCAAAGAAAAGCAGCTGAATAGTTAGCAGCATAATCTGCAGTTAGAAATGTCCAGACTAATTATGAGCTGAGTCAATACCTCTTATTAGCTCACTCTCTAATTAATCATGCTTTAATTTCCTGCTGAAACTTAGCTACTGAAGGCAAAGGCAATGACAGGCGCAATAGGATTCACTGGTAAGAGCTGTATTGTAGGAGTTAAATACTGTAGATACTACAGTATGCATTACTCAGAAAGGATTCCCTTATCAGAAATTTCTTAGCTGCATCACAATCTGCAAAACCCTTGGGAAATTTTGCTTTCCTGGACTTTCAAAATTTGGGGGAAAAAATGGACCAACGTACCAGTTTGTTTTTCGTCACTCAGAAGTAATTGATATATTATTCTAACACCAAGATGGGTCTGTTTGTTTGGTTAAAGTGTGTGTGTGTGTGTGTGTGTGAGAGAGAGAGAGAGAGAGAGAGAGAGAGAGAGAGAGAGAGAGAGAGAGTTGCCTGTGTGTGACTGTGTGTGTGCGTTTTCTCTCTATAGCTGTGTCTATGTGTGCATGTCTATCTATTTTCTTTCATATTAGTTACAGTGCATTTCTGTGACAAAGGCCTCTATGAGATAAGTAGTGAAGAAACTTTGTTTAAATTATTTTATATCAAACTTGACTATTTCCAAGATACCAGGAAAGAAAGAATAATAGAAATGGCAAAATCCATATAGGCCAGTGTTTTTCAGCCTCAACAACTTTAAGATATGTGTACTTCAATTCTTAGAAATGCTGAGTATTGAAGTCCGCACATCTTAAAATTAATGAGGTTGAGAAACACTTCAACAGGCACAAATATATATGCATATCACCTGAAAGATTTGGACAAAAGGCAGGAAATAAGTCCAAGAAAGAAACACAATGGGGAAAGTTAGCCAGTGCTACTTTGCCAGTTTAATTAATTTAATTAGTTATGCTTTATTTTCTAAGGCTACTGTGAAGTTAAAATGAAAGGTGGTAAATAAATAGCACATCTTATCATAAAGACAAAAATATTTTAATTTGCTTTATGGTAATTAAATACTTCTGTTTCCCAAGCTTATTTTAATAGCTTTCTTAAATCTTTTTAACCAGTTAAAAGTAAAATTACAGCAAGAAACTGGGAAACAAAAATAAAGAAATACAATAGTGAAAAGATAGATAACAAAGCTATTGGATTCTGTTTGCAACTTTTTAAAGAACAATGAGTCCAAACTGTTGCTTTTAATTTGTGCTTGTTGCAACTAAATTGAGTTGCAGAGGTTGGTGAAGACTGGATTTACAAAAGGGCTGCCATGAAAGAATTGTTTATTCACAAAAAGACTGCTATATAGTTGTAGGAATGGCACCAAAATCTCCTTCATCAGGAGAACTAACTCAAAGATGCTATCTACAAATCTAGAGAAAATTTAAGAGGCTCCAAGACATTCCTGCAAATTTGTGAGATGCTAGAGGCAGATGTGGCAAGTCATCTCCCTATGTGATTTAATTAATTAAAATAATCTTTAAAAAAGTTCAGTGCAACAAGGAATCTAGTGGGCACAAAGGAAGTTCCCTAGGCCACATGCGACATGGGCTAGATCAAGTTTCCCCAGAGTGGTCAATATTAACCCCCAAGGTTTGATTGGTCTATCCCACAGGTCGGCAACCTGCGACTCTGGAGCCGCATGTGGCTCTTTGAGCCTTCCCCTGTGGCTCCCAGCCTCCTCTGCCATTTACAAAGACAGAGACAGAGAGAGGCACTTGTGCTTCCCTTCTCTCTCTCTCTCTCTCTCTCTCTCTCTCTCTCTCTCTCTCTCTCTCTCTCTCTCTCTCTCTCTCTCTCTCTCTCTCTCTCTCTCTCTCTCTCTCTCTCTCTCTCTCTCTCTCTGTGTTTGTGTGTGTGTGTAAAAAAAAGAGAGTGGAGTCACAGTGTTCTCCAAGAGCTGAAAAGCTTTTTGGGAGGAGCTCCTCCCTTTGCTGCGTCTCTGCAGGAAGCAGGAAGGGCAGGAGAGAGCTAGCTAGCCCAACTATGCTGACTCAGGAATTCTGGGAGTTGAAATCCATGAGTCATAAAAGAGCCAGGGTTGCCTACCCCTGAGCTTGTTGGAGAACAGTTTGAAGCCAGCTTGCCAGGTGAGCAGAAGATTGGAGAGAGGGAGAGAGGGGGAGAGGAAGAGAGAGGGAGGAGAAAGAGATAGAGAGAGAAAAAGAGAGAGAGAGGGAAAGAAAGAAAGAGAGAGAGAGAGAAAGAAAGAGAGTGGGGGAAGAGGACTGGCAGACCAAGGGCAGAAAGAGAGAGGGGGAGGAGGAAAGAGAGAGAGAAAGAGAGAGAGGGAGAGAGGGAGGGGAAAGAGAGAAATAAGGAGAAAGAGAGAGAGGGGGAGAGAGAGGGAGGGAGAGGGGGGAGAGACAGAGAGAGACCCTTTTGACATCTAAAATGAAGATAACACTGCATATACCCTTGTTTTCTGAGGTTTTTGCGGGTGTTTGTATGTAGATCTTTGGTTATTCGGGTTTTCTCCTGCGTCAAATTGGAAGTGTCTTGGCGACGTTTCGACGAAGTCTCATTCGTCATCTTTAGGCTGGTGTTTTCGGCTTCGTGCTTCTAGGAGCAATGTGTGATCGTAGCTGTTTTTTCCTTTTAACTGCCAGTGAGGGTATGAACTGATTGGATGAGAGCTTGGCTGTGTTCTGATTGGATGGAGGTGTGTTCTGATTCATTAGGAGCTTGGCTGTACTCTGATTGGATGGGGGGTTGGCTGTGCTCTGATTGGTTGGAGGAGTGTTCTGTTTGGGTGGGGGCTTTGTTGTGCTCACGTTAGTCTGAGTTGCAGGGGGATGTGAGATGGTGAGCTGCATTGCTATTGTTGGCTTCGCGTTCGTGGTCGTGCCTCATCTTCATGGTGGGTGTCAGTTTGCTTCATGTGTGGATTGGAGGGGTTTAAAGTGGCTAATGATGCAGCTGTGGTCTGGCTTCTGGTTGTGCCTCATCATCGGTGTGGGTTTGCGTTTGCTTTTTGTGTGGACGTGCAGTGGTGACATCCTGTGTGGCTTTTGTGAGTGTGGGTCTGGTGTCATTCTTTGTGTTAGGGGCTCGTTTGTCAATAAGGATGGGTTTCCAAATGGCTGGTAAGTGGGAAGTATCATCTCGTTTGTTCATGCTGTGTGGGCGTTTTTCTATCTCGATGGCTTCTCTGATTATTCTGTTATTAAAGTGTTCAGTTTTGGCGATAGTTCTGGTCTTTTTAAAGTCAATTTCATGTCCTGTGATTTTAAAGTGTTGGACCAGGGAAGAAGTTGGTTCCTCTTTTTTGACTGAGTTCTTATGTTTTTGGATTTTAGTGGGGGTTTCTTTTTGGATTAGTTTGGTAATCTTATTTCTTTGGAATCCATTGGATGTAAGTACATTAGTGAGAGTGTGTAGTTCGGTTTTTAGGTGTTGTTCATCAGCTAAGCGTTTTGTTCTAGAGATGAGTGTCTTGGCTACGGAGTTGATCTGTGCTGGGTGGTGGTGTGAGAGAGTGTGCAGATAGCGGTTTGTGTGTGTTTTCTTCTGGTAGATGGTGTGTCCTAGGGAGCCATTGGATTTCTTGTAGACTAAGACATCCAGGAAGGGAAGTTGGTTATTAGCTTCTGTTTCCATGGTGAACTGTATTTTGGGGTGTAGGCTGTTGAGGTGTGTGAGGAAGAAGCCTTGACAGCTATCCAAAACAAATATAACCCCCCAAACACATCCTAGATCTGACCAACCACTGCCTATCCAACACATACTTCATCTATAATGGACAAAAATACAAACAAATAGAAGGAACACCCATGGGATCACTCCTCTCACCTG